GATGCTCTGAATGTTGGGGGAGAAAAAAACGAATGAATGACGAGTTCTGCGTTACTTGAAAAAAAGTTCATAGACATGTTCAGTATTTTACCTTTTTTATAGAATGTTTCACCTCGAGAAAGGTGAACAAAGTACTCAAAAAAACGTGGCTACAGCTCCAACTACTGATAACTGATTGGTAGCATACCTTCTTGAATTCTCACATTTTGGGCTGACTTGAGAGGCCTATGGCTCAGTGGTTAGAGCACTCTCCTCACAAGTGAGAAACCTTGGACAAGTTAACTTACGCCCCACGCCTGATAATAATCCTTCAAGAAAAAAAACACAATAATAAATTCACTTCAATCCACGACTGTTTGCGGGACACTGCTGCGCACAATTGACTGCCATGTTTCGCCCACAAATATATAGTCAATTCACTTTACAGTATATTCGGTGAATCTAGAAGATGTGATAAGTACTATATCAAATGCAAGGATTATTATTTTTACTTGTTTTAATTGTCTGTGTGCACATGCAGTGGGGATGATGTGTTTGTTCCAGGTGCCACTGACTATAATAGTGAAATTAAATGGTCCTATTTAGTACTTTCTATCTTTACATCAGATCTTTAAGTCAGGCTCTGTGGCAAATAAGATTTGGAACTTGCATTCTCTTGACTGATTTTCTGCTGTAAATAGGGGATTAAATATATTGCCAGAATTGGTTCTGGTTTACCAAAATGTAGTAGGCCTACAGCATGGATGTTTTTGATGTGCTGAATAATGACAGTGAATATTGTGCCAGATAAATCTTCCAGATGTTCTCCCTCTTAACACAGTGAGCTCTCAATCTTAGAAAAGCAAAGGTGTTGTATTGTCTATTCTCAGTTGTCAGTGGTGCTTTACGTTTATCTGTAGTCTGTCTACTTGCGTTTTTTTTTGGTTCTCCTCCCCGCTTCCCCCATCTCTTGAGGATTATTAGTTTGTGTACAATAATAATAATTTTAAAAAACCTTGAAATAACCTGTTCAGGATATAATATCAATCAGTTTATCCTGTCATCCAAATTCCTATAAAAAAATCTTTAATGTCCAAATAAGAGAGAAATCTCACAACTACTTATACTTTGTGGAGTCCTGTAGCTCAGTGGTTAGAGCACTCGCTTTGCAAGCGAGAGACCTGAGTTCAATTCCAGGCAGAGGGCGAAACCTTGGGCAAGTTTCCTTACTCCACACAGAGCCTAATAATAATCCCTCCAAAACCAAAAACAATAATAAATTGGTCATTTTCAATCTACGACTGTTTGTGGGACATTGCTGTGCGCAATTGGCTGCCGCGTTCGCCCACAAATATACAGTCAATTCACTTTACAGTGTGTTCTGTGAAGCGCTTTGGGACGTCCTCCCGACGTGAAAAGCGCTATATCAAATGCAAGGATTATTATTATTATTATTATTCTTGCATTCAGCTCAAAGCAAGCAACAACCATCAGTGTCATCAGCGTAATGAAATTTCCCAATCACAATGTTAAAAAATAAGAAAGGTTGTTGCTGGCGAGCAGAATACATCCTTGTTTTGGCTCAAAGATTATTAATAATCCTTGCATTTGATATGCTGCCTTATCATGTCTTCGAGAAGTCTCAAAATACTTCACCGAATATACTGTAAAGTGAATTGACTATGTTTTGTGGGCAAAACATGGCAGCCAATTGTGCACAACAGTGTCCCACGGGCCATTTAAGAGTGAAATTGGGAAGTATTTTTTTACTCAAAGGTGGTGGAATTCTCTACCCCAAAAGGCCGTGGATGCTGGATCCATCCACACTTTCAAGAGTGAGTTTTATAGAATTTTTGGTATTAAGGGATATGAGGAGTAAGCAGGGAATTGGAATTGAAAGGATTAGTTGAGGTACAGATCAGCCATGATATAACTAAATTAATCGAAGGGCTGAATGGCCTACTCCTGTTCCTGTGTAACAGTCGTGGATTGAGGGACCAATTTATCATTTTTTTTGAAGGAATTATTATCCTGGAAAAGCAATCCTGCAGTCGACTAACAATGGGGTTCCTATTTACTGCTAGGTAAACAGACATGTGCAGTAAGGAAACTTGCCGAAAGTTTCGCCCTGCCGGGTATTGAACCGAGATCTCTCGATTGTTAGGCGAGTGCTCTAACCACTGAGCTACTGGACTGCACACTGCCCTGAGGTCAGAGATGTTGCGTACATCAATCAATACTTGAAGTTGAAATTGGTCACTCCGTGCCCCCCAAAATATAGAATAACAGGTGAAAAACAGGGGAATAATCAATTCTTTAGCATTTCCCTTTTGTACTATATTTAAATCTGAAACAATTAATTCCCAGACATATGTGTATACTAGCAATTAATGCATGCTGCTTAATTAAGCAGCAGGATATTAGTGTGTTTAATTCTTGCTAACTGTTTATGACGCAGCCTTCTTTAAGTGCTTTCACCCACAAAATATACAGTCAATTCACTTTACAGTATATTCTGTGAAGCGCTTTGAGATGTCTTGAAGACGTGATAAGGTGCTTTATCAAATGCAAGAATTATTGTTATTACTTGGAATTTTGTAGCTTGGTGGTTAGAGCACTCCTTACTCCACACGCCTCTGTTGCGGTAAGTAGGAACCCAGTTGTTAGTCGATTGCTGGATAGCTTTTCCGGGGTTAATATCCCCTTTTAAAAAAATTGGCGACTCAATCCACGACTGTGTGTTGGGCACTACTGTGCGTAATTCGCTGCTGCATTTCGCCTACAAAATATACAGTAAATTTGCTATACAGTATATTCTGTGAAGTGCTTTGAGAGGTCTTGAAGATGTGGTAAGGCGCTAAATCAATTGCAAGGATTATTATCACCTTCCAATGGTGTTTGTATATTCCGCATAATCCTGCATTACTGGTTGAAGAATTCAGAGAGAGTATTGTTGCTCACTCTGGAAAAATTTGCACCTAATTAGTGGATTGTTGTTGAGAAGCATGTGGTTTGAGTCGTAAGGTGGGAATTGGTTGAAAACTGAATTTCAAAGTCATGTGGGGTAGGGGGGGGTGGCGTGCAGTCTGCTGCCATATTTGTTTCTGTGGAGGGAGCAGCTGTCTTGTTGTGGCTTCCTCTTTTTGCCTTGAATTTTCTTTTTACTGCCCTGCAATAGCAAGGTTGGGGGTGGTGGCGGGTGGTGGGTGTTGGTGCATATTTCAGATGTTTGCACAAGCTGTTCACTAGCTATATTTTAAAAGGGAGAGATGGTGAATTACTAGAGATTGCTCGGCAAGCGTGCAAATTACAATGTCTGTGTTTTCTGCCCTTGCCTGTCTTGGATTCTTAAACTGCTGGAGCGAAACACATTTAGTGTATCTAGTCTGCCTTTGGTGAGTAGTCTGGCTGGCTGCTAATTTGCTTGAATTTTCAATAAGATTCCACTCTCCTCGAGTCCTTTGCCCTTGGCTGTGTCTGCCGCTGCCGGAATCTACGACAACTGCGAAAGGTCACGTTCATTGCTGCAGTCTCCATTCACTGTGCTGCATTGTTTGGGATCCACAGGGAAGCAGCAGCTGCATTTGGGCTTTCAGAATGCGAGAGTTGGCTGTTTGCAAGAGAAATGCTTTGTTCCAGAAGGTGCTGTGCACTATTAACATGCTAATATGGGTTAAGCTTGCTGGGAGTTTTTGCTTGAACTTGACAAACCACGTCTGTGGTATGTGACCTGTCTGGCCAGAAGTTAGCCCTATTAACGCCCACAGTCCTCAGTTCAATGTTGTTTTTGTTGTGCTTTTTACTTAACAGTCTGTACCCAAAACATATTTTTCTCTCTCTGCCGTCGAGCTGGTGGCATTAGCATAATGAGCTGAGACTGGGCTCTATGCTTGTCTGGGGGGGTGGGGGGGAAATGTGTGGAATAAAATCGTCCAAGTTTTTTTTGACTTGTTCCTCTCTGATCTTAAGCGTGTCATATTTGTAACCTGCAGGTAATTTGATTGCAGTACAATCTTTACTCTCCCCCCCCCCCCTTCATAAAATGTAATGCAGCTGGTGAAGATGGGTTATTGTACTCTTATTTACTAAGAGATTATTGTTTTGGTGACTGCTGGTTGTCTATCTTTAATTAGCTTGCAAATCAGCATAGACTGTAGTGTAGTGTAAGGGCAATGGCACAATGACTTGGCAGAACTCAGTAGATTCAAGATTAGATTGGATTAGACCTGTCCCTGCATTGCTGCATTATCTAATCTGGACAGTGCAATGCATATATTGGTCAATCCCTAGTAAATGTAGTAAAATTAATCACTAATGTAGAGTTTATTTACTTAATATTGTCTTGAAAACTTACATTCACCACAGAGATTAGATATCACACAATAGAATTCCTCATCCAAAATGAAAAAATCATATACAGTTTAGTGCGTCGGCAAGGGGCAAGTTTAGCCTTATTATATTAGATAATAAATATTAATATGCTTCATTTTTGTGATGTTGGATAATGCTACTCTCTACCTACTATGATGGGAGCATTCCCAGTGCACATCCCAAGCACATCAGATCGTCTTTGAACACGGATCCTGCAGCATATGGGCTGCCATGTTTCGCCCACAAAATCCACAGCCACTCACTTTACAGTATATTCTGTGAAGCGCTTTGAGATAAGGCGCTATATCAAGTTATTATTATTATCAGTTGGACATTGTTTGAGGTTAAACCAGGAATGGGGGGATGACAAATACAATTCAAATTATAGTGAACTTGTTCAAACTATCCACTAAAGACAACTTACCCCGAAAGAGGCGGGAAGAGAATAGACTGTTGGTTATACATGGGGAGGATTGTTATTGACACCTCTTGAATTGGCTTCTTCCGCTGCCAAAACAAGGATTTATTATAAGGAGGTGGTTGAAAAAGGTAGAGAAGGCAAACAAAACTACAAAAAATTACCAAGAAAGCTGTCAATTAGGGATAAATCAATGGAGTACGATACTGAATTTATTTCTTTTATTCCTTAGTCAGTTTCTGCTCAGAGAAAATTGGATCCTTGAACTCAAACCAGCATAACATCAATGTTCAAGGTAAGACTCATAACTTTGGGTATATTTATTACAACAAGATTATCATCTGCTCTGGGTTGCTGGGTTAGAAGAGTGTCTGCATTTGGACTCATATGAACCCACAACTGGAATCATGTATACTGTCTTAGAAATAGAATGAACCAGTGGGATGCTCGCTCAATATCTTCCTATAGAGGGATAATTAATATTCAATTCTCAATATTTATTGAAGGTTAGACCGGTAATCCAGGTTCCCTTCTGTCTCTGTATTTGTCTCAGACTAATGGAACATATTCCCTTGATCATTCAGCATTGTCTGAACCTGAAGTACTTTTCATGACAATTACATATCATTGGTCAGTGTAAACATGGAAATCTTTGTAAATATGGAATACATTTGTCCTGAATCTGCTCTGGATGGCAGCAGATTTCCTCCTCTTCTGGCCATCCTTTGTCAATACTCCCAGTTATTTGGATTTGTACCACAACCTGCTTCTGAAGCTCTGGACTTAGTTTCATCAGAAACTCAGTGGTCTTTAAGTATGCTAAATGTGAAAAATTGTAGATGATAATCGTGATCGTTGCATTTGATGTATGCTTTTCACGTCATGAGAACATCTCAAAGCACTTTGCAGGAGTTTACCGTGAATAGTAATAAAGTAGTGTAGCAACTGCATTTTGTAGGCAAGCGTGACTGCCAATTTACGCATAGTAATTTCCCACAAATAGCTATGAATTGAAACTGTTAGATTGTGTGAAAGTGATGGCAAAAGTAGTTCATTTTTTTCCAGTGGAAATGGGGTATCGTTAGAACTACATGCTGTAGAGTTGTATTTGCAGCATGCTCAGTTTCCCTTCCCTTCTCACAGGAATTATAGAATGAGCAATGATGTGATTGCACCAGGAGGGCAGATCTCACAATGCTAACACTTAACGCAAACGGGACAAATGTAGATGTCGTCTGTGAAACTGTAAGTACTCTTTTTTAAAAACGGCTCCTTAAACAAAGGCTTGGAATTAGAAAAGGCTATTTGGCCCATCAAACGTGTTGCTTCCACAGATTGTGCATAATCTGCTGCTTTGTAGCTTCTGTCACAACGTTCTTGCCAGACTGCACTGGCTGCCTATCCCAGAGAGGATCGATTTCAAGATCCTCACCCTTGTATTCAAGTCCCTGCACTCCTCTGCTGCATTCCCCTACCTCTCTGAACTCCTCTCCTCAAAACAGTACCCGCCCGCTGCCTTCGTTCCTCCGGGTCTGGCCTCCTCCTCGTCCCCCAAGTCTTCCACTCCACCCTCAGTGGCTGTGCCTTCAGCCACTATGCCCCGAGGCTCTGGAACTCCCTTCCTCACTCCCATCGCCTCGCTCCCTCCCTTCCTATTTTCAGGTCTCTGCTGAAGGCCTTTCTTTTCGACTGTGCCTTTGGTAACCTTCCTCCCTCCACCCCCCCCGAGGCTCAGTCCCGGGATCCATTGCTGTGAAGCGCTCTGAGACGCCATCCGGCGTGGAGGGTCCTATATAAATCCAAGTTCTTGTTGTTGTTGTCACACCTGTGTTATCTGCTTCTGCATCAATGTTTTCTGATCCTCGGGTAACAAGGTGAATTCCAGAATATTTAATCTTCCTCTACATTTTCTCGGTTGAATCATGATGGGTTGTGATCCACATCCTTGTATCTGAATTCGAAGTAAAAGAGTTCAGGAGCTGAGCAGATTAATGAAGGGTTGCAATATCAGCCCATGACGTCACTTGGGAGAGGAGAAGAGAGTGCCTCTAACTCTGAACAATACATTATTTAAGAAGCACTTGTCCATTTGAAAGTAGGATTAGGGTAACATAAGACAACATTCTGTTGGGGGTGAACAGAGGAATTCCTATAAACACAGCATTGATTTTGTTTGTATGATTGATTACCTCCTAGGTTTTGCTGGAACATATGAAATGATGGAAACACTGGATGAATGATAAGACCTGCTTTGTGAAACCTAAGCATGGCAGGCTTACAGCTCATGACACCTGCTTCATCACCAATGGGTCCCTTTTTTGGACTGCCATGGCAACAAGAAGCTATCCATGATAACATTTTTACACCAAGGAAATATCAGGTATGTGTTGTCAATAAAGGTGAGGCAAATTGAATAGATGGCACTATTATGAAATCTTTCATTTGTTTCCATTTCTTTCCCCCCATCTCCCCACCTACCTACAACACTATATTGTTCACAGTGCATCATATATGCTACCCATGAGACACGGGTTCAAGGCGATCATCCTACAGAATGGGGATTCATTTTGCCTCACTTCTCAGCTGAACCAAAGCAGTGTTGTGAATAAAGTAAACTGAATTTCTGGAACTTCTGAAGTATCAAACTGCTTAGAAAATCTTTGGATCCATTAATGTACTTAGTTGTCAAGGGAGTTGAATGAATCACAAATTTTTTTGAAAAGGCACTCCAGTACTTATGGTATGTTTTTATTTGCAGGTTGAACTTCTTGAAGCAGCTTTGGAACACAATACCATAGTTTGTTTAAATACTGGCTCAGGGAAGACTTTCATTGCAGTGCTACTTACAAAGGAGCTGTCTCATCAGATCAGGGGACAATTCAACAAGAATGGATCTCGGACTGTGTTCTTGGTTAACTCTAGTACGTGCAGCACTAGGGCAAAATGAGATCAGGAGCCCTCTTGGTATATAAATTATGAGTTGTACCCGTTGCAGCTTCGCTTGCAACCAAAGGCTTGTCTATTTATTATGCGTACCAACAAGGATTTAGATCCCCAAGAGAAGATTGTTCCTCTATCACTTCACCTTGCCCCTTCCTTTCCCATCTTCAGATCGCACCTGAAGACCTTCCTCTTTGACTGTGCCTACGGTCACCTCTCCTGGCTCGGAGTTGTGCTCCGCCACTTTGAAACGCTCTGGGACGCTACTCTGCGTGAGTGGTGCTATATAAATGCAAGTTGTTGTTAGCACTAGGCTCCGCGACCCTATCATCCCCATCCTTACCCAACTCCCCTGGCTTCCCATCACACAGGATACAGTTCCAAGATCCTGGTCCTCAAAGCTCTCCGTGGTCTTGCTCCCCCGTACATCTGCAACCTCCTAACCCCCTACCATCCTGTTAGCTCCCTCCACTCAGCGGGCTCCGGCCTGCTTCATGCCCCCGCCTTGCTCGCCCCACTATTGGTAGGTGGGCATTCTGTCCACTCTGCACCCACCCTCTGGAACTCCATCCCGCAGTCCCTCCGTCTTGCCCCCTCCATCGCTACCTTCAAGACCCACCTCAAGACCCTCCTCTTTGACCGTGCTTTCGATCTCCCTGCTTTTCCCCCTTGCCCTTCACCCGCCCCCACCCAGACGCCCAACTCGGGTCCGTAACTGTCCAGCACCTTGGGACGTCCTCGGCGCTATACAAATGTAATTGTGTTGTTGTTGTTCTAAAGAAATGTGTCCCAATAAAACTTTGTTCTTACAGTAACTCATCAAGCTTTAGAAACAAAATTGTCATATTTTCTAGCACCTTCTGTGGCTCCACTAGCAGCAGCTGTGAAGACCCATTCAGATCTGAAGGTGGGGGAGTATTCCAGCATTGAGGACGTTCAGTCATGGACAAGAGAAGAATGGCACAAATGCTTCATTGGACAACAGGTATTTATTTCATCAGCATTTCAAGGTCCAGCTGGTATTTGGAATATTGCCCAAAAAGTTTGTACTCGCTAACTAAGGTTAGAAATTGGCGAATCCAACTAATCAGCTGTTTCTAGTACCTCAAAATTGTCTACTCTTGACCTGCGAATGCTCGGTCTGGACTCTGATGTGAAAAGTGTTCCCATTGGCTAGCTCTAGCATTTTTCACGTGACTAGCAATTTTTTTTGCTACAAACAAAACATACTTACAAGTATGGTTTCAGATTAGTCTGACAAATTGCCCAATCCAAAGTGTTCTTCAAATAACTTTAGAGATTTGTGTGTGGCTTTTTATTTAATTGAACAAAAAGTACAACCCTAAAGTTAAGCAGGATGGTGCACGTGGCTTTATTCCGCTGAGTAAGTAGCGCTACCCTGTATGAAGGACACTATATAAATGCAAGTTGTTGTTTAGTTCCTTGGCAACCTCGGTGTTGCTAGTAAATAATTTAACATGTGTGCTACAGTACAAGGAGTTTTCTAAAGAAACTGAGGAGAGCAACAACAACAAAATTACCTTTGTATAGCGCCTTTCACGTTGGGAGGATGTTCCACGCAATTCAGCCTGATTGGTGCAGAAAGTCGGTATGTAAAGAGCATGTCCCCCTAATTGGTTTTGTCTTTCTAGGTGCTAGTAATGACTTGCCATGTCTTCTTGCACATCTTGAGAAAGGGTTTCCTTTTCCTGTCCAAAATCAACCTGCTGGTTTTTGATGAATGCCATCTTGCAATTAAAGATCATCCCTATCAGGAGATTATGAAGGTAGGATGTCAACAGTACTGTTTCACCGTTGTGTTATACGTGCATTAATTTCACCCATGCCCAGGTTGTGGCTGATGAAGCATTTAGCCATTGCACTTCCAGCACTTAGCCTTATTGCAGTAGTGGGGGCATTCCAGGATGCATTTGCCCACAACATTATTTGAAAGATGACCCACATGGAGTTTTGTGTTCTCCTCAACTGCCTATGTTTTAACTAATTATTTCGGAGAGCAGTTGGGGAGCAAACAAAGTAATTTGAAAAAGATTAGACTCCTTTAACCAATCCCGTAGTTTTACAAATACTGTTTCCACTTCATAAGTGAGTCGGATCTGCAATTCGGTAAGTCCTTTGCTCCGACCAAGAAGTATGTCTTGCCGTAAAGTACTTCTAGAAGTCCAGTGGGGGATTGGATGGGGAAAAAAAAGTTGTAGGACCTTCAACATTCATAGTCTATCCCAGATAAACCAGTACCCTTTCTAGGAATTTTAAGTGAATGGTTGAAAGGAATGGAGAAAATGAGATTAAGAATGAACTGTTGGATTACTTGGATTTTGTAATTTGTATTATGAAGAGAAAGGGAAAGAAGATAGGGATAAATTCTCTGGTCTTGAAACCGAAGGATCCAACATGGAATGTAGATTTCAGTTAAACCACTCACAAACCATTTAACATGGCATAAATACTGTGTACACCTTCAGCAAAACTGCCATACACATGTGATAATCTTGTTTAGGTCATAGCTCATCAACCATAGGAAATCCCACCCCCCCCAACAAAAAATGTCCATGGCACTCCCCATCCAAAACCTTTCTGATGAGGTATAATTTATGTCTCTACATCAATTGGGTATTGTGTTATTGGCAGACAGACGGGCATTTTGTGTTTATTAGTATAGATAGAAGATGGGGAGGGAAATTCACATTGGTAGTGTCAGAGAACCAGGGGATCTTGAACATGAAAATTCCACCTCTGTCTGGTAGTGAATGAGCTGACTAGTGGAATCTGAATGGTTTTAATTATTAAAATTTGAGGGACAATGCAATGGATTGTCTCAATGTCAAGAAATGCAAGTGTCTTTGAATGTTGCTGTTTTGTACAGCATCATTGCTGACCCACATCATTCTAATGTAATCAGGTACTCCCCGAGTGCTTGTTTAATGTTAAAGTCAGGGATAGAGATCCAACAGTTGTTTCTTTTTCTCCCTTACCGTCTCTTCCACCTTGCTGTGCTAGACATACATGCATTCAGACAGGGCTTCAGAGGGAAGGTTTCATTACTGGCTTTCATCTGCCATTTCTGTTCTTTGTTGCAAGTGGAATTCATTTGCATTATTGAATGTGTCAGTTTGATTGATTCTGACTAACCCTGTGGGTGTAGAGGCTATGGGAGTATTTGTTGGAATTTTTATTGCAGCGGGTGAGAATTGTAGCGCTTGCTTCTTGTTTTAGAACAACTTTTATTTGCCTCCCCACCCACTGCACATAAAATACTGTTAAAAATATATAAGCTGTCTTTTCACACACACTATGTTTAACGGTTCTCATCTTTAAATTCAATCAAGTGCAAATTACTGTCAGTGATTTAATTTGCTGCTGTACATGTGTTGAATTCTGATGGGTGCAATGTGAAGTCAAAAAGAAATCTTATTAAATGGGCTTAAATGCTTAATTTGATTTGAGTTTTTCTGGTAAGAACGTTAGACTGACTATAGAATTGCTAATGTTACGTGATTCATCTAGTCTTGAATTGCATGTAATGTTGTGCAGGGAAAAAGCATGTTGAATTGCTATGTTGAGGTACTGTATTGCTAAGGAGATATAACTTGCATATGGGCTTGAGTGAATCCTTTGTTGGCCAGTCTAATTTGCAACGCTGAATCTGTGTAGTGAAAACAGCTTATAGAGGATGTGATTCACTGCATCTTTGAGTTCTTGTGTAGCCAGAAGGAGCGTTGTCATTGGCAGTTTCTTTCTGTTAAGTAGATGTGTGAGGAGAACCCATCATGCCCTCGAATCCTGGGACTTACTGCCTCGATATTAAATGGTAAATGTGACCCTTCTGAATTGGAGGAGAAGATTCTGAAGCTGGAAAAGATTCTCCGAAGCAGTGCAGAAACTGCCACTGACTTGGTGGTGTTGGACAAGTGAGTTATAGACACCTTCTAGGTTCTCACTTTGTGTGCTTCTGATGCAAAGATGCACTTTGTGGGCATTGGGGCAGAAGTGTGATTTCTTTCAGTGCTGTAGTGTGATTTGAATTTGGTTCAAGGATGATGGAATGAATCTTTTTCTTTTAGTTATTCCACATGTGCTGGCTGAATGAGTACCGCATAAAATGTTTAGGTGTGTTGGGGGATTTACATTACATCTCGCTCTCATTGGTGCCTTGCTCCTATGAGTTGTAAACAGTTGAATTCAGGATCAAGGTAATGATATTTGCTATCATTATTAATCTGCTCTGAACAGATTCAGTGAGTGTTTGCCAAAGTTTGGGGTAAGGTCCCTGTCTGCCCATGTATACGGATAATTGACATGATAATTCTATACAGAAAGCTGAGAAATGTTTGCCTTTATGTTGGGGGAAGAGGGGTCGGGATTGTTACCAATTGTTGGAAGGTTGCTGGTGATTTCTGAAGTTGTAATTCATCATTCCTTTTGACCTCAGATATTCGTCTCAGCCTCATGAAGTCGTGTTAGACTGTGGACCATACGTGGATAAGAGTGGCCTATATGAAAAACTTTTAATGGAATTGGACGAAGCACTTAATTTTATCAATGACGTCAATAACATACCTGCACACTGTGATGATCGAGGTCCAACTTTAATTCCTAAGCAGGTATGGTAGCAGGAGTTGGAAACTGAGATGTAGCTTTGAAGTTTTTCTGGTAAGAATGTTAGACTGACTCCCCTTTAATAGTTTTCCAGAGTTCTCATTGTGTTTCTATGGTTGAATGCAAAATCAGATTGGCAGAGATTCAGGAACATTTTTGGGTGCAGCATAAGACCAAAATAAGAGTGCAGTTGTAGAACTGGTTACCAGGAAGGGTGGTTGAGGCCAGTCCTTGTTTAAGAAACTGCTCAATGATATAATGGGAAAACAGGAGGGTTGGTATTTTGGAAGGATGAAATAGTGAAAATGTAGATATCGGTGAAGACAGGATCAGGCACTGTTGAAAACTCTGGCAATAGTCAATGCCTAAGGCCTTATACACGACTAATTGCTGCTTTTGTAAAGTGCTTGAAGGAGATCAGCTCACAGGATATTATACCAATGGAAGGAAAAGGGTGGTGGCAGGGGATTCAAATTGACATAGGGAAGATCTTTGATTTCACTAGGGAACCTTATTAGGTAAAAAGATTTATTCTAAATTTTATTTTTTATTTTTCCTTCTCTGAGAAGCATGGAAAATATATCGCCTTTTAACTGATGATACTTTCTTCAGCTTATTAAAAGACCAGCTCGTTTTCTAGAAGATGCTTATGGGGGATAATGGGGAGGGTGACCATAATATTCACTCAATCCACAACTGTTTGTGCGACACTGCTGTGCTCAATTCAATTGTGCATACAATCAATTCACTTCAGTATATTCTGTGAAGCGCTTTGAGACATCTCGAAGACATGATAAGATGCAATATCACATGCAAGATTATTATTATATGCAAGATAACTATAATGTGCGTGTGTTGCAATTTAATATGTAACTTGTCTTTGCTGTGTCTCTTCCCCTGTTGAGTAACCTTCCTGTGGTTTGCTCTAGGTGTTGGTAGACTGCCGTGCAGTATTGACTGTTCTAGGACCTTGGTGTGCAGATAAAGTAGCTGGGATGATGGTCCGAGAACTGCAGAAATACATCAAACATGAGCAGGAGGAGTTGAACAGGAAGTTCCTTTTGTTTACAGACACTCTTCTGAGAAAAATCCATGCACTGTGTGAAGAGCACTTCTCGCCTGCCATGCTTGATCTGAAATACGTCACCCCCAAAGTCAACAAGCTGCTTGAAATCCTCCACGAGTACAAACCTTTTGAACGGCAGCAATTTGAAAGCGTTGAGTGGTACAACAACCGAAACCAGGACAATTATGTCTCGTGGAGCGATTCTGAGGATGAGGACGAGGATGAAGAGATTGAGGAAAAGGAGAAAACTGACACGAACTTCCCATCCCCATTCACCAATATATTGTGTGGAATTATTTTTGTTGAGAGACGCTATACAGCAGTTGTCTTAAACAGGTAAGTGATAAGTTTCGAGTTGAAACTCAAAGTAAAACTTTATGGTTTTAATAACCTGAAGGGGCTTTTCTGTGTTTTCGGAGTTGATGTATCAGAAGCCCACTGTTAGTAATGCTGTCTGCTGTGACAACAAAAGCATCAGTTTGGAACCCATGAAGGCAGCTTATAAACTCCCACAGTTTTGCACAAATCAAAAAGCTTCCAAGTGAACCGGCTTAGGATTTAGATGAGGTTGGCTGGATAAGTGTTTCCCTTGCCATTTATGTCTTCGTCAATGTGTTACCGCTTTAGAATATCTAGAGCAATGTTTTGAAGTATCTTGGGCAGATTAAATGCCTGTAATCAGTTTGTGATGTCACAAATTTAACCATTAAGGATGGCATTCAGCTGTCAACATTCACCCATGGAAGGCCTGTGAAAACACCATTAAAACGTCCTGCAGATTTCAGACTATAAAATTGCTTTGCTAAGTGCTGTTGCTCTTCTACAAATGCAAAGCACTTCAAGTCTTGACTCTCCTTTCATTAATTTTATTTCTGTAACTGATAACCTGTCAGATTTGATTTACTTTTCATTATTCATAATACCGCTGTGTTTATATAAAAAAAGGTTGAGCACGAGTCTGCGATGGAAATATTCTGTCTGATCTCAGGATTCGGCTGCTTCAGATTCTTTCCAGTCTTTGGTGGAAGTATTTGGATCCCTTGATGAGATTCTCCCAATAGTTTTCACTTCTTTTGTTCTTGAGGTAACTCATTAGGCAGAACATGCGTTGGATGTATAATTTTGGTCTTTCCATGCCTTACTGAGGAGTCCTAGTTTTGTGTACTATATTTGCTGCAGTTCTTAAGAAACGAGTTTCAACCACAACAAATTATGTTTACACGGTGTCTTTCACGTCGGGAGGACATCTCAAGGTGCTGGACAGTCAGGGATTTGAACCCGAGCTGGGGGTTGGAATCAGGAGGGGTTGAAGGCACGGAGGGTAAGGGTAGAAGGGTGTCCGAAGGCACGGTTGAAGAGGCGGGTCTTGAAGGAAGCAAGGGAGGGCGGGAGGCGGAGGGACTGTGGGATGGAGAGGCTCAAGGTCCGACTGCCGATGGTGGGCTGGACAGGTGACATGGAACAGGCCGGAGCCAGCTAAGTGGTGGTAGCAGACTGATGTGGTTTCAAATTTTGACTTAAGAATTTTTCACATCGCTGCACATTCTTAAACTTTAAAGACAACATAGTCCCTCAGGCTAAGATGAGGATCTCAGATTTTCATTGAAACAGACATTTCAGCACAAATAAAGCCATTGTAGTTCTGTATTCTACCTCTCCAATTTGTGCAGTTTCACATGAACCTCTTGTCTAACTCCCAGGCTAATAAAGGAAGCTGGCAAGCAGGATCCAGAGTTGTCTTATATTAGCAGCAATTTCATAACCGGTCATGGTATCGGAAAGAACCAACCTCGGAACAAACAAATGGAAGTGGAGTTCAGGAAGCAGGAAGAGGTAAAAAAATCTAACTTGTAAAGCCTGCCTTTTTCTTTTTTACTCTTTTTTTTAACCAAACAGATATTTTGTTGATTTTAGCCTTATGATATCTCCCACTTTTCTCCCCCTTCCAGTCCTAAAACATCTGACACCTCTTTCCTATCCTTCCCCCCCCAACCCCCAATACACACATTTTTATCTTAATAGCCTATTTTTATGCATGAGCCTGGAAGTGATTGAATGCAAGCTAGTTGACAATGACCATCATACCCAAGCCACATTCTATTCTTGCCCAGCATCCACCTGTTCCACATGCACAGCTGATGCTGACGGGTGACCGATTGGCTCAGTTGATGGCACTCTTGCCTCCTGGATCGTTAAGTTGTGGTCAAGATTCATGTCAGGTCTTGTTGATGGGTCCTCCTAATAATCCTTGCATTTGATATAGCACCTCGTCAATGTCTCAATGTCTCAAAAGTGCTTCACAGGATGTACCGTAAAGTGGTGTGATTGTGCATTTTGTTGGCGAATAGTATAGGAATGGTGGAGCACTGTAAGGTCAGCAGTGCTGTCCTCAGATGAAACAATAATATCCTGTGACACTGTTCAAAAAGAGAGGAGAATGGGAGAGAGAAATTATTATGCACAATTCTGACCAGCGTCAAACCGACTTAATTGTCGGAGCAGCCTTACTACTATAGTCCCAGAAGTTCAACGTAATAAAGTTTTTTTTTTCCCCCCCTCTCTCTCTCAAATTGTTCCAGGTGCTGAGAAAGTTCCGTGCTCACGAGACCAATTTACTTATTGCCACTAGTGTTGTTGAGGAAGGAGTAGATATTCCAAAATGCAACCTGGTGGTTCGGTTTGATTTGCCTACAGAATATCGCTCTTACGTGCAATCCAAAGGCCGAGCTAGAGCACCCATCTCGAATTATATCATGCTTTCGGATTCTGATAAAATCGAAGACTTCAAGGAGGATCTTAAAACTTACAAAGCAATTGAGAAGGTACCTGTGGTTTGGCAGTTTTGTAACTCAGGCAGTCTCGGAATGCAGAAAGAATTAACAGACTCGTACTTGCCTATTATTCTGTCGAGTGCTGGTAAAATGTTGAGTAATACGCTGCAATGTTTATTTGCTGCAGGAATACTAAATCGGCTCTATTGGGAGCAGATAGCTGTTTACTCCACTTGGTTGAACTTAATATACTATAATAATCCTTGCATTTGACATAGCGCCTTATCACGTCATTAGACGTCTGAAAGTGCTTCACAGAATAAACTGCAAAGTGTAGTGACTGTATTTTGTGGGCGAAACACGGCAGCCAATTGTGCACAACTTGCACATCAAAGGCTGTTATTTTTCTCTTATCGGGGTTGTAACCGTCTTTTCCCAGAGAATCTACCATACCGTACTGAAGCCGCTCACTTAGACTGACTAGACCGTGGGGAGGCTTTATACAGCACACGAGCCACCACACATCCTAATTTCCCCCCCCCCCATCCCTAGCCAGGTAAAGAGATGAGGTCTACAGAATAGAACAGACGTCTCAAAGTGCTTCACAGAATGTACGGTAAAGTGAATTGACTGTATATTTTGTGGGCAAAACACAGCAGCCAATTGCACACAGCAGCGTTCCACAAACAGTCGTGGATTCAGTGATCATTTTTTTTGAAGGATTATTACCCCCGGAAAAGCGACCCGCTAATCGACTAACAATTGGGTTCCTACTAGATAAACACAGGCATGTGGAGTAAGGAAACTTGCCCAACATTTTGGCCTGCCAGGAATCGAACCTGGGTCACTTCGCTTGTGAGGTGAGGGTTCTAACCACTGAGCTACAGGACTCCATAATATGCCTTATGGACAACGATGAGCTTCCTCCTCGCCCACTGCTTCACCATTGACAGTTCCATATCTCAGATTTGTTTTGCTTGTTTTTCTGAGATGAGTACTTCATGGTTTCAGAGCAGTTTGGTACTATAGTTGTATGCTTTCTAGGACTGTGCCTGAACTAGAATTTTTATTAGTCATAGTTCATCCCAACAAAAGAAACTTGGATTTACACAGCGCCTCTCATGCAGGGTAGCTTCCCAGAATGCTTGACTGTGGCGGAGCACGACACTAGGCTGGTGGGAGGTGAGCGTAGGCAAGTCGAAGAGGAAGGTTTTCAGGCGTGACCTGAAGATGGGGAAGGAAGGGGCAAGGCAGAGGATAGAGAGACGGTTTCGGGAAATCTGGTGTCTCGTAGGTTGTACCTTTATGTGCTCATCGGGTGATTGGGTTTTCAGGAAGATTTATGTATTTGTGTCGGTCTCTCCCTAAGATTCTCCGAAATAAGTGTTCAAAGTCTGTGGATTCTGCTGACGTGGAGGTAGAGCCTGTTGCTGCTGACGATGATGTGCTTCCACCATATGTATTGCGGCCAGAAGACGGAAGCCCCCGAGTAACGATCAACACTGCCATTGGACATGTTAATAGGTAACCGGAGTGGACACCAATTCCAACCCATTCAAACATTATCCATGTTCTGAAGGGTTTGCATGGTTTCATTTTGTGGCTTGTGGTATTTAGAGGATTATAAAGTACTCTTAACCACTAAACTACAGGATTTTGTGGAGTCCTGAGCTTAGTGCTTAGAGAACTCGCCTTGCAAGCGAGAGGACCTGGGTTCGATTCCCAGCCAGGGTGAAATGTTTGGCAAGTTTTCTTACCCTACACTCTGTTTACTTAGCAGTAAGTAGGAGCCAGGTTGTTAGTCGATTGGCAGATCGTTTTGCAGGAGTAATAATCCCTTTTTTTTAAAAAAAAATTGGTCACCCAGTCCATGACTGGTTTTGGGACACAGCTGTGCACAATTGGCTGTTGGTTTTGTCCACAAAATATACAGTCAATTCACTTTACAATATATTCTGTGAAGCGCTTTGAGATATCTCGAAGACGTGATCATTTGCTGTATCAAATGCAAACATTATTATTATTTTGTGACTAGTTATATTCAAAGGCTTATAACTTGAGGCTTATTTGTGATGCTTACAAGTTTCCAGGGATTTTTTTCCTGGGAGTTCCATATGTGAAGATAAGTGGCAACTCTCTGAAATTCTCTGCAAGATGCTATGCAAATGTAATTCTGTTGTTGTTGAAGCAATTACACAGGTGAATGGTTCATGCGTTCAAAACTATAAGAGCAAGAATGCAACAATATATTTGAACCCTGTGATGCAGTGCCTTCAATCGTGTGTGTAGCTTAATCCCTCTGGTGGACAAAAATATGGAATGCAAGCTTGAAAATCTGATATTTCACAACTGCACTGCAATTGGCCTGGGTTTGTACATGTTGCATCATAATTGCAAGCCAATTAAATGATTTCCTCAGTGAATGCATTGGGAGACCTCATGATGTGGGTTTAGTGGCCTTAAAGGAATATTTCTCAGAACACTTTAACACAACATGTCTATGTTCACGTTGTGCTCCGCCGCTGTCAAGCGCTCTGGGACGCTATTCTGCGTGAGGGGCGCTGGATAAGTGCAATTTGTTGTTCGCAAAAGACAACAAACTTCACATTGGGGGGGGAGTTCTATTTCTTATTTTCCCATTGATGTATAAAAACACAAACTTTAGACGGATTGCTTTACTCAGTACATAAAATGATCAAAAATAAAATGCATAGCAGTTAGATGAGCATCAGACAGAGAAAGATGGGTTAACATTTCAGTGTGTCCCTTCAGAACTTGTAATAGGTTTCTAACATTCCATAGCAGAAAAGCTTCATTGTTGGGCACAAGTGACTGCTGATGGCATTGTGTCCACTCTGCTGTTATGTTTCTCATTAGCATTGTGAGTGCTATTGTATAGCTTAGTGTGTGCTGTAAAGGGGTGATCTATCCTGATTTGGGGTTTTATTGATTAACCAGCTTTGTTCTTGTGGTTTAAGATGCCCTCGGAACTCCTGCCTTGAGTTTTCAGAGCACCCGATCTTTTAAGCCGAGAGAGAAATTTGTGCCATATTGACAGTGGTGTATTGAACATTCCTCTTTGTGCTTTCTGTTTTCAATCTTTCATTTCTCTTATTGAAGCCAAGTTTGTTTTCTTCGTCATTTTTATTGCAGCCTGTATTTTCTTTCCTCCCTAGTTTAAATCTTCTTTAAAGCTCTCTCTTCCCCCCCCCCCACCACCGACACACACTCTCATATACACGCACACACACCCTGCCATTGGAGTACAATTTAGTTTAGATCTACAGATTGACTAGAACTGAAGCCTATTAACAAACAACTAATCACCTTTGGGCCCATTCTGCTGCCAATTTAATATTTGTTGCTTTGAGATGTCGCGACTTCTACATTGTCATGAGTTTCTGCCTCTTTAATTACACATTTACATTTATTTCACTTTAATGCGTATGGTATAAATTGGATACGCATCGTTGATGTATTGCATATGAATATCTGTTTGTGATTTGGTCGGATTTGTCCTTTGAATAAGCAGCTCCCCCAATTGTGTACTGTACTGGGATTGCCATGTATTTTGTACTTGGGAGTGTGGAGTGAGTACCTAACTCTCCATGTTCCTACAGATACTGTGCACGGTTGCCAAGTGATCCATTCACACACTTGGCTCCGAAATGCAAGACTCAAGAACTGTCAAGCGGTACTTTTCAATCAACTCTCTACCTTCCCATCAATTCACCCCTTCGCATCCCAGTAACTGTAAGTAAACGCTTGTTGGTATTATTAGCAGTCTTCTTTCGAAAGATGAGTTCAGTATATTCACCTTATATGTTCAACTGAATATGTTGCCCGTTATTTCAAATTGTTCATTGCTGTTTGCCTACAAAAATACACAGCCACTAACTTGAGGGTGGGTGGGTGACTGAAAGCACGGTTCAAGGGGAATGTCTTGAGATGGGCCTTGAAGGAGGCACAGGCGTGGGCAAGGCGGAGGAACCCAGTGACTCCGGGGTGGACCCAACCCAAATCCACCTCTCTGCTTTCACCCTTGACTGCAGGACCACTGCTGTACTGACGGGGTGTCTGTTAGACATCAAGCCCTGGATGAGAGCTAATCTTCTCCAGTTGAATGTTGACAAGACCGAGGCCCTCCTTCTTGGCCCTCCACACCTCGAGCACTGACAGCATCACTATCGTGAACCTGGACTGTATAATGTTTTTGTGTCTTTCACTCTCTTTAATAGGGTCCTCCGATGCCCTGTACAAGATTAGCTGAGAAAGCAGCAGCCCTTCTCTGTTGTGAAAGACTGCACAAAATAGGTGAGTGAGCAATCAGTTTCCCTTCCTTCCTTGGTCTTTGTTCTTGACAGATATGAAAACGTAAGTGAACGATGCCTTGTTTTGTCTGAGCAGGTGAGCTGGATGATCATTTGATGCCAGTGGGGAAAGAAACCGTGAAATATGAAGAGGAGCTTGATTTGCACGATGAAGAAGAAACCAGTATTCCTGGGAGACCAGGCTCTACAAAACGCAGACAGTGCTATCCTAAAGCGGTTAGTGTAGCAACGTCCAACTCGCTTTAGATAGACATCCTTGTGCGCATTAAGCATTTGCGTTTCTGTGGAGCAGTAATCTATTCCACAGCCAAATAAGTGGAGTGCGGGTTGTCTCGCAAAGCTGCTGCTCACACGACCCTTGAGATGTTATCTGAAATCCTGTTCATGGTGACTGATCTAATTCCTGCTTCACATTGAGATGTGAACATAGAATGGCATCCACTGCCATATAGGAAAATGTTTTGTTTCCCACGGGGATTTGTGCTTGGTTCAGATATGTGAGTGTCATTGTTTTTCTCCTTTGTTTTTTTTAAACTGCCCGTGAGTAACAGAACAGGTGTATAGCCCAATACTGCACCCCTAATCCATGCAACTGCCTTCCTCTAGCTTCCATCTTACCCATCCATTCTGTTTCAGGCCTGTCTCAAAACCTACCTCTTCAACAGCACCTACCCTTTCCCCCTTTTCCCAACTGATGCAGTCTCAGCTGTTCTCCTACATGAAGGCTGCTTTTGCTCCATAAATGCAGATTGTTGTCCTGCTCCAGTGCCGTTGCTCTTAAACTGGCTTAGTGACGTGAGAGTCTCCTCACTCTGTTTTTAATATTCTTTTACCCCCAGCTACAGTCAGGTAGGGCCTCAGTCCTTAGTGGTGTTATGAGTGAAATTGTGATCCTGGACTCCATTGTGCTGTGGAACCACAGGAATACAGCCTAGTATAGGATATTTTGGAGAGAAACATTTCCCAACAGCTGTCGATTATAAAGTGGTGCCAAGAATGTTCTATTTCCTATCTTAGCTTTATTTATACAATATTTCAAAGGCTTCATCAGAGGCTAGAAGTCATTCAGCTTATCACTGTTAGCAAACACTGGTGCAGATCGGGTATTACATTTGCTGCACAAGCAGTAGCACTTCAGAGCAATTCATTGTGTGAAATTTTTCCATTTGATAAGACATAGGAACCAGAATAAGCTATTCAGCCCCTCGAGCCTGTACCACCATTCTATAAGATCATGGCTGACCTGTACATCAACTCTCATTTATCCACCTTTGCCCCATATCCCTTGGCATCCTGACCTAACAAAAAACCTCGACCCCTTCTCGAATGCAAGTATTCTTTACTATAGTTTTTCAGATATGTTGAGGAACTAAATTGATGGTGACTCAAGTTTTTTTTTTCCTTTGACCAGATTCCTGAATGTCTGAGGAACAGTTACCCCAAACCTAACCAGCCTTGTTACCTGTACGTGATTGGCATGGTGTTAACCACTCCTCTTCCAGACGAACTCAATTTCAGAAGGAGAAAGCTATATCCCCCCGAAGATACAACGCGATGTTTTGGAATACTGACTGCCAAACCGATACCTCGGGTAAGTAGCCAATCTTCCTTCTTCTATCGTCGTCTTGTGTTTTTTGAAGGCGTTCAGGCCACTCCGCCCCCACCCTTTGGAACTCCATCCTGCAGCCCCTTCGTCTCGTTTGCCTCCTTCAAGGCACATCTCAAGACCCTTCTCTTCGATCGTGCCTTCGGTCTCTTTCCCCCCCCCGCCCTCCACCCGACCCGATCCTGAACCCCAGCTCTGGTCCGAAATACTGATTGTCCAGTGCCTTAGGATGTCCTCCCAGCGTGAAAGACGCTGTACAAATGTAATTTTTTTTGTTTTTGTAAGATTAAAATGTTCAAAGTATCAATATTTTCTCCAAACAAAATGTTGTAAGTTAGTAATGCTTTCAGTACTGGGTAATTATAATAAGATGAAAAATCACTCTGCGATGTATAAAAGCAAATTGATTGAAATGGCGTACTCTGTGTTGCAGTAGGTTTTACCAAATAAACGTGTTTGTGTTACTAGATTCCTCACTTTCCAGTGTACACCCGTTCTGGGGAGGTTACCATATCTATTGAATTGCGCAAATTGAATTTCACATTGGGTGCGAAGCAGCTGGAGCTGATCACTAGGCTACACCAGTATATCTTCTCTCACATTCTTCGCCTGGAGAAACCTGCACTAGAATTCAAGCCTACAGAAGCTGATGCAGCCTACTGTGTTCTACCTCTCGATATAGGTAAACGCATGGCACCATTTACAGTGCCCCCGAAGTGGCAGTTTGCTAAATGTATACATTTTATAACTAACTGCTGTGTTTAATTAAGTCGTTTTAAGGGTTGATGTGTGGTCCCCTCTTCTCTCGGTCTTCCTCCCCCGCCATGTGATTTATGATTTCATTCAAACCTCGGGCAATGCCAGTGTTGGTGAACACAGCCAGGAAGAGTATAGTTTGGCAATTTCTTCCTTCATAGCATTTTGAATCGGGTCACGGTTCCTCAGTGTCATTTCCAGCCAAACACTGGAGTCATTACTTTCTACCCTGACTTGATGGGCACTGTTGAGCAGTGAGAAACACTATGGTCAAATGGCCAACTACTATATGCTTCATTTGCGACATGTATATTTAGAATTGGACAATGTTTTTATGTCATGAGTTCTGATATAATGTGGAGTCCTGTAGCTTAGTGGTTAAAGCACTTGCCTCGCAGTGAGAAGAACTGGATTTGATTCCCGGCAAGGCGAAACATTGGGCAAGTTTTGTTACTCCACTCACCTCTGTTTACCTAGCAGTACGTAGGAACTCTGTTATTAGTCAATTGGCGGATTGCTTTTCCTGGGGTAATAATCAAAGCAAAAATAAATTTTAAAAATTGATAATAATTTGGTCACTCAATACATGACTGTTTGTGGGACACTGCTGTGTGCAATTGGTTACTGCGTTTCGCCCACAAAGTATACAGTCAATTCACTTTACAGTATTTTCTGTGAAGCGATTTAGGATGTCTCAAATACTTGATAGGACGTGAAATCAATAGCCAAGATTATTATTATCATTATAATGTATCAGTTAGTGCACTTTTGTCAACAAAAGTTTGGGTATCACTGAATTACTGAAAATCTATCTGCTGAAATATTTGTGTCCTTAGTTCATGGTTCAAACCACTTGGACATCGACTTCACCTTTATGGAAGATATAGAAAGATCGGAGGCACGCACAGGCATTCCCAATACACAGTACACAAAGGAAAAGCCTTTCACATTTAATTTGGAAGATTACCAGGATGCAGTGATCATTCCAAGGTATGTGCTGTTTATTATTTATGCTGGCCGCTTTGGGTCCAGCAAACACACATGTTTAGGCCTCTGCACTACGGTAGAGTGATTGAAGGGTATCGGCAGAGTAACCGATTGAATGACGAGGCTCCTGTGTTATCACAAACAAATTGCCTGGGTGAATTTAAGATGCGATTGGCTCAGTCTTTAGACTTTTTGGCCTTAAATAAGTTGGGGGAAAATTGTCTTTTGGAACCACTTCCAGACAAATCTATGCTTTTTATTATAATAATAATAATGATGCTTGAATTTGGTATAGTGCCTTATCACATTGTAGAGATGCCCCAATGCGCTTCACAGAGAAAATTGTAAAGTGAATTGACTGTCTATTTTTGTTTCGCTTTGGTTTGTATCTCCAAAATGAAATGAATAGCAAACTGATCAGTAAAGGGTTTTACATTTCATGTGAGGACTATAGCTATGAATACAATACAGTTATATACTTGACATTTATGTAACGACTTACACATCGGGAGAATATCTCAAAGTGCTTGACAATGCTGGGTGGGCGCGAATGTTCACTATTACACTGGTTAACAACAAATCTAAAATCTCTCACTCCTGCAATCGGTTGCAAATTACATCTTATTGCACCCACTGATATTTCAGATCAGTGGCTCAATGACATGTTTAACTTACAATTTGTGATTTATTTCACCCAGATATCGAAACTTTGACCAGCCTCATCGTTTCTACGTGGCAGATGTGTACACCGATCTCACGCCTCTCAGTAAATTCCCCTCCCCTGAATATGAAACATTTGCAGAGTATTACAAAACCAAGTACAACCTTGATCTGACCAACTTGAACCAGCCTTTGCTGGATGTGGACCACACATCTTCGAGGTAAGGCTGTGTTGCAGCGGCCTGCTGCGTCTAAATAGCTAATGCAAGGTGATCAGCAAATCCTCTACCGCCATCCACAGATGCTAAGATAGTATTGCACTGTATGATATCTGAGTCTGGGCCTTGATGGCGAACTGCTCATTACATTATTTTAATGTCTCTAACCAAGAATGAACCTGCTCCGATGGTTTCAAGTGGCAAGGAATTTGCTAATAGTTTTCAGTTATTGTGGACTGAAATAGCTCTGAGTTCTTTGAATATTTCTGAGAGTACAATGTCCTACGAATAATATTCTGTGTGTAAGTATCACATGTCGAGTCATGTAGACCGGAAATAATTTTATACCGTTCTCCTCGGCTCCCCTTCAAAATCTTTAGTGGAAAGACCACAAAATCTATCGTGGTAGCAGTAAACCTGCAAGGTTGCATTGCCTTACATTTGGAATGTCATTTGGCTCAAGTTAGCACTGAATTACTTTCTCCTGTTGAATTGCTATGTAATAAAAACATCTGCTTTTGCCGTCAGACTGAATCTTCTAACACCACGACACTTGAATCAAAAGGGAAAGGCACTGCCTCTAAGTAGTGCGGAGAAGCGCAAGGCTAAATGGGAGAGTTTGCAAAACAAACAGGTAAGAAAGAAGTTCAGCAGCTTCTCGGTTAGCATGTTGCCCTGATGCAGGTTATATAAACTGATTGGGTAAGCCTACATTTTGTAAATCATTTAGAGTATTGTAACTTTTCTCAAGATTCGTTGCCACTGGCATTGACTTTAAATTGCTAGGTGGCAGTAATTAGTGTTCAGTAATGGGAAGGACACTGACTGGAAAAAGCTCAACCACTTTTTAGGTCACGTTCTCAGTTGCTGGGATCTGATACTGGGCTCTCAAGACCCTCCTTTTCGACCGCACCTTCGGTCACCCTCCTACTCCTACCCTCCCTTCCCTCCAACCCTCCTGATCCCAACCCCCAGCTCGGGTCCAAATCTCTGACAGTCCAGCGACTTGGGACATCCTCCCGACCTGAAAGGCTCTGTGTAAATGTCATTTGTGGTTGTTGTTGGATTCATATGTGTCATAAGGGACTGTATAAAATGAATCCTGAATTCATGAAAAACGTTTTTCCAAAGAGTGAGTGTTGTGAATGGTTGGTACTACAACAAGAACAACTTGCATATCTATAGTGCCTTCACACAGGGTAGCGTCCTGGAGCGCTTGACAGTGGCGGCCAGTTGTTAGTTGATTAGCAAATCACTTTTCTGGGGATAATAATTCCTTTTTTTAAAAAAAAAAGAAAAATTGGTCACTCAATCCAATTCTGTTTGTGGGACGCTGCTGTGCACAATTGGCTGCTGCATTTCGCCCACAAAATATGCACTCAGTTCACTTCACAGTATATCCTGAAAAGCGCTTTGAGACGTCTCGAAGATGTGCTAAGTCCCTGTATGAAATGCAAGGATTATTATATGTATGGGATCTGCTGTTCTGTATTTCTAGTGATTTAAAGGTTCAGTTAACTAACTTTCCTTCTTTATTTAAAGATTCTGGTCCCAGAACTCTGTGCTATTCATCCGATCCCAGCTTCCCTGTGGCGCAAGGCAGTGTGCCTTCCCAGTATTCTCTATCGTCTACACTGTCTATTAACAGCCGAGGAGCTACGAGCCCAAACAGCCAAGGAAGCCGGTGTGGGAATCGAAGCTCTCCCTTCAAACTTCAGGTCTGTCGCTTCACTTATCATTGTCCTGCTTATTGCTATTACACTGGTAAATACAAACAAATACATAAATAAATGCTCACCGGCAAATAAGAGCAAATTACTCAAGGGGAGGTTATTACAATTCTGCGCATTTAATTGTGAGAATTTCTGGGTTTGATATTGTAACCAAGATCTACCGCTTAATGCACTAGGCCATGCCAATGGTGAGCTGCTTGATGGTGGTGAGTGTTGAGAGCCAATATGAGCCCCGAAGACTTCAGTACAGGCTGGGTATTGTATACTGTTGGGACTTGAACATTGCTGTGTTAAATGGCTCAAGGCCAGTTCAGAGTGCTGTGCACCAGCCACTCTTGCCTGGTTTCCTGTAATGGACCTGTGGCGTCACCTGGTGTGTCCCAACTCCACACTGAATCACAGGGGATTCCTGATCATTCACTTAGTGGTATCAAGGAATCGGATCGTGTTGGCCATCTTACAGCAAGCGGTGTTGCAGATGGAGAGTGGATGAAATCCACGTCAGGAATTCTGGTTGTGGTCCAGAGTAAATACAACAAAGAGACGTTTTTAACGGTGATTACTGTATATACAATATAACAGTCCCCTTGGGAGTGACTTTACAGGGTTCTAATCTAATAGAGGGGGTTCAGATGTCCTAACCCACGAAAGCAAATCTGGAGTAGTTTATAGCGTCACCTGAACCCTTAGATTGGATTACAGTCTTGAATTTGCTTGTTAGTGTCTGTTTGCACAATTCATCAGCTGTGTATTTTTAAAGTATGAGATTATTTCTTTTGTTTCTTGCTTTCGGGTGAGTTTCTCTCCGTGCTGTAACTAACGCCTATAAAGAAGGCTGTTCACCTCTGCGACCTTATCTGCAATACTTGTGGCTAACTTGTAGCAGACTCCAGGGAGGGTCTGTTTGTGGTACATTTATAGTTTGCCTAGAGGCTGTAATATTACCCCTTGGTTTTGATGTCGTTCAGTCATCGGAACCACAATCTTGTATTAACAATGCCAGTCCAATAAAAGTCTCTTCACTTAAACTTGAGCATCAGGACTGGAGCCCTCCGGGGCTGGAAGGATTGAAAGGGGTGAATTTGTTTAAAAGTGTTGATGATTTGACAGAACTGAAATTGTGAGAGGTGTTCTTCATTGAGTGATGGGAAGCAGGAGTGACACAGGAAAACCTTAAAGAAAACTGAAGTGTGATGTGTACCGTGTTGGGAAATGACCACTGAGGGGCAGCACAGCGTTGGATCATGAGCTGGATTGTCATCCCATATGCCTTGATCTCATTCCATTTGGAGGTGCATGTTAAACAGATTAGACCATAAGAACATAAGAAATGCTCAACAAAAAAAAGACCAAGGTCCATCCAGTTTGCCTTCCACCTTCCTGGCTGTTGCATGCACATATGTCCCAAACTATCTGTGTGCTATATCCCATAATGCTATTTCCTAAAAGAAAACTATCTAATCTGTGTTTGAAGGAATCAACACTTCCTGCTTCAACCGTCTCCTTCGGGAGGCTGTTCCACAGGTTCACTATTCGCTCACTGAAATAGTGTTTCCGTAGATCTGTTCTAAATTTACCCCCTTCAATCACAGGCCATGGTTTTACTATTCTGGACTAGTTGAAGTAGCCTGTTGTGATCTACATTGGCTCGCCCTTTTAGAATCTTTAAAGACAGCAATCATGTTGCCTCTCAAACTTTTTTCCAATGTGAATAAGTTAAGCAGATTAGACCAGAACAACTCTTCTTTTCCCTTTCCCTCCCCCCAAATGTCCATTGTCTTGGGTAGCTTTTGTGAACTCACTGCATAAGCCTCTAATAAATGGGAAAGCCCAAGTGAAACCAATATAATTCATAAGAACATAAGGATTTGCTAGGTGAAAGAAGACCATGGTCAATCTAGTTTTCCTTCCACCAACCTGGCAGTCGCTTGGCATGTCATGTCTGAAACTATATTGTTTCTCGATTATTATTTTCTAGCAAAAATCTACTTGAAACAAATACTTTCTGCTTCTGCTGTCTCCCTAGGGAGCCTGCTCCTTTTCACTGAAGTAGTCTCCGCAGATTTGTTCTGAATTGACCCCACTTCAATCACAGGCCGTGTCCTCTGATTTTACTGTTTCAGTACAAGATAAAACATCTTATCATGGTCTATATTGTCTAGTCCCTTCAGAATCTTAAAGGCTAATATTGCCCATCAACCTTCTCTTCAGTGTGAACATGCCCAGTTTATCTAATCTCTCCTTGTGGTCCAGTATCCCCATCCCTTTTAGTCTGTATTGTTTTTGTTGTACCACCAAAGACACAACTGTAGACTTCAGTTTGGAAGATGCTCGATTGGTTGTGGTTTAGCTGGGCAAAGGTTGTGTGTGCCTCACACTGAAATCGCGGTCTGCTGGAGAGCTGTAAACTAACCCTTTGTGAAGATAGGGTAGGGTGTGGCTCTGTTTCTTTCTTGAATTAAGCATAATTTGACAATATGTTGTGTTGCTATTGCAATCCCGTGGCAATGGTAGCAATTTATCTGTCCTTGGTGTATTTTGGAAGGATATGATTCTGTAACTGTACAACTATGAATTGAAGGGAGTTTTTTTCTCTCCCTCTCGGTGTCCAACAATCCAATCCACTAACAATCCTCCAGACAAAAAATGGTCATTCATTTCAAGGCTGCTTATGTAATGTTGCTGTGCACAAATTGGCCGTGTTTGCCTACAAATGCATATTCCCTACATTTTGCAGTAAGTCCTATAAGGCAATTTAGGCGTCTCGACTGTGTCTAAGGCACTATCCTATTATTATTATTTATAATGTCAAAGTAATTAGTTGGGGAGAGCCAAACTATTCTCTCAGTCCTTCCTGCCAGACTTTACAAATTGCTCTACCTATTGGAAATATCCCAACAATCCCAAACTACTGTGTCACTTGTCCTGTTTATAAACATCAGCTGTTCAGCTATGGTAGGCTGCACAGTTTAACCCACTTTGCTACCTGTATGTACAGAATATAATGAGAAGTATCTGGCATGAATTGACCGTCTACTACTAACTTTTGTGTATTACATTCTGATGATTTTATAAGCCAGAACCTTGTAACCTCATCAACTCCTTATGTCCACTATAAAGTTCTAATTCCCATGAAGTTATTTTCAAGACCATGATTTTTGTAGATTATAGGCCGTGTAACTCTTGGGTTTATGATGTCCAGAAGCAGTTTTTACTGCATGTATTTATTGATATAATAATACTGATGCAAGTTTAAAGCAATGGATTTTTATATGTAGGTTTCTAGATGGTTTTATTTTGACAGATAGTGATGTTTTTGTGCTTGAAATAATAATTTGGTCACTCGATCCATGACTGTTTGTGGGACTTCTGTGTGCAATTAGCTGCTACGTTTTGCCCACAAAATATACAGTCAATTCACTTTACAATATATTCTGTGATGCACTTTGAAACGCCTTATAATAATCCTTGCATTTGATATAGCGCTTTTCACGTCTTCTAGACGTCCCAAAGTGCTTCACAGAATATACTGTAAAGTGAATTGACTGTATAAGATGTGATAAGGCACTATATCAAATGCAAGGATTATTATTGTTGTTGTTGGTAACCCTGTGATCTTTCTGTTGTTAGGTATCCCAATCTAGACTTTGGGTGGAAAAAGTCTATCGACAGCAAAGCTTATATCATGACAACTGGCCCCTGTACAGAAGAGAATGAGAGTTACAATAAGCACAGCACAACAGTAGCCCCTGAAGATGCTGCACATCAAGGTGCTATAAACGAGAACTCCTCCTTAGAAAATATTTGCCAGACATCTGTGAACAGCAAACCATCGCTCAAGAACCCGTCACCCAAAAAGCTCTGCGATGCTGACAAAGTCACCAGGACCACAGTGATCAATGGCGTCTGTTCCGAGACCCAAACCCAGTTCATAAACGAAGATTGTGTTTGTCAGCGGAATCAAAGGAACTCCTACAGGCACGATGTACTTGTACAGCCAACTACCTCAGTTCCAGCGCAAAATACACACAACAGTGAGAACCAGCTCAAGCCCCGAGTTGAATGTAATCTACAAAGTAATAACCTTGATAGAATTACTAACAAATCTACCTCAGATGGTTGCTCAAAAGAGGCAATTTCCTCCAATTCCTCACAGCCTCTGGCAATTCCACAGTGGATCTTGGATCCGGGTGATTGCCCTTCTGGTGTGTATACAACTGAAACCCTCGGCCCTAACCCTGGTCTGATTCTGCAAGCTTTGACCTTGTCAAATGCCAGTGACGGCTTCAACCTGGAGCGTCTTGAGATGCTTGGTGATTCGTTCTTGAAGCATGCTATAACAACATATCTCTTTTGTACATACCCTGATGCCCATGAAGGTCGGCTGTCCTACATGAGGAGCAAGAAGGTGAGTCTTAAACCGGCAGTTTGGTGAGTGTTTGAAAAGATACAATAAACTACTTTCGTTAGGATTTATTCCAACTTTTATATTTTGCGGCCTTCATTTTCGATACTGCTTTTTCTCATTCCAAAAATATTGAAAGCAGACTTTCATAATTTTCCTGACCAACTGTTGCCATGTGTATGCTTTCAAGGATATATAATATTGAAATGAGTCTCCTTGCTTTTGGGAATGGCTTTGTTTTGTTCTCAGGCTGCACATCCACCTTCTAGTGTGAGCAAGCAAACAACATAACCTGCTGACCTTGTTCTACTGCTAATGAAATTAGATTTTCTGTGTGTGTGAGAGGTTGTGGGTTTGTCTCTTTTTCCCTTTTCTCTCTCTCTCCCTTTTCTCTCCTAATTCTCTCTCTCCGCTTCGCTCTCTTTCTCTTCACTCCCTCTCGCTCGATCCTCTCTTTCTCTTCTCTCTCTTATCTCTCCTCTCTCTTTCTCCAACACCTTTCTAAATATCTCTGGCTGCTGTTGAGAATTGGCCATGGCGGGGAGTGGTGGGGGGTTAGGGTTAGGGATTTGGTTGAACGCTGGAGTTACTGCCTGTTTCTGGCACTGTGCCACTTTGGCATTTGTTAAGCTAACAGTCATTGAGATTGGCAGCCGAAACGAAAGTATCGGGTAGTTGTGCTGTACGCCAAAAGTAGTTTGATTGTGATGTGAGGGGAGCACAGCACACAGTATTGTATATACAGGGTATACTGTTCCCCTTTAAGGTAAAGTGAAATCCAATATCACTGCATTTCAAATTAACGTTCATTCGAGAGAGCATCTTTTCTCCCCATCAGGCTTAACACCAAAAACAAAACCTCTTCACTAAGAAATCATTATTTGTAGCATGACAGGATCGCCTTTTTATATAAAAAAAATGGTTTTGTAATGTCTTCTCAACACATGTTACAATTAAAACAGTACTACTATGGTCTAGCTGGAAAATGATGAGTGGTGATGATGGTTGGCAAAGTATATATAGGATTAAAATGATGCAAAGTGTTACAAATAGCAAAGTGGGGACTCTTCAATATGTTGGAAACTTTAGGATGAAACCATAGTGAAACTGTGCTTTTGAACATTCCTTTCCCAGACATATTTGCCTGACTATTTACTAAAGTAGAATAGATGTGAATTCAGAGCTTGGGGAATAGCCATGAATGATGCTGTGTGCACTCCCCTTACTTGCTCTACATACTCAAAGGCCAGAGTCTTGGTCCCTGTCCTACAAGGGTTGAGTTCAGATTTCAGTCTCAAACAGCATTCGGGCTTCGGTTCACCATTGGACAAGATAATAATAATAATAATAATAATCCTTGCATTTGATACAGCGCCTTATCACGTCTTTGAGACGTCTCAAAGCGCTTCACGGAATATACTGTAAAATTAATTGACTGAATATTTTGTGGGCAAAACGCAGCAGCCAATTGCGCACAGGAGTGTCCGACAAACAGCCGTGGGTTCAGTGGCCAAATTATTATTAGTATTTTGCGCAAGAAGTCAACAACAACAAGATTCCATTTATAAAGCTCCTTTCACGTCAGGAGGACGTCCCAAGGCGCTGCACAGTTGGGTCATGACCCGAGGAGGGGGGAAATGGTCAGGGTGAGGGGAGGGAAGGGAGGGAGCGAGGAGGGGGAAGAGAGTCGAGAGGGGAGCTGAAGGCTCGGTCAAAGAGAAAGGTTTTGAGACCGGCCTTGAAGGAGGAAAGGGAGGAAGCGGCGAAGGCACTGGGGGATGGAGTTCCAGAGCCTCGGGGCTGAGAGGCTGAAGGCCCGACCACCGATGGTAGGGCGGTTGGGGCGGGGGACGTGGAGCAGACCAGAGCCGGAGGAACGGAGGGTACGGGCAGGTAGGTAGGGTGATAGTAGGTCGGAGAGGTAGGAGGGAGCGAGGCCGTGAATGGCCTTGTAGGTGAGGATGAGGATCTTGAATTTGATCCTCTGGGGGATGGGGAGCCAGTGGAGGCGAGCGATGGTGAGGGCGAGGGTGAGGGCGAGGGTGGGAGTGATGTGGTCGCGGTGTCCGGTGCGGGACAGTACACGAGCTGCAGAGTTCTGAATGACCTGCAGTGTGGAGGGAGGGCCGGGAAGGCCGACGAGGAGAGAGTTCCCATAGTCCAGTCTTGAGGTGACAAAGGCGTGAACCAGGGTTTCAGCAGCGTGAGGGGTGAGGTAGTGCCGTAGTCTGGCGATGTTCCGGAGTCCACCGAATCTGGGGTGCAGAACTGATACTTCACCGCATTGCTCTTGTGTGTTTCTGACGGGAGATGTCGCAAGTCAGATTCTGCTCCCCACCACCACCCCCAATTCGAGAAACCTGTACTCGAGTCTTGATTGCATTGTCTGACATAATGGAGTAAAATGTCTTCTGTTAAACCGTTGAGGGGAGATTACATTTAAACGCATTGCTGTTTGCGTGCCTGCCATTGAAATGCTGAATAATTAATTTTGATTTGAAATCCCTCTTATTAGTAAGTTATCTACGCCAAACAGAGCACATACTATTCAGGATCAGCTCCTTAGCACGCTTGAACTGCCTGATCAAATCTAAACCTCGGGTATTATCTTTGCCCAGATATACTCAATAAGCAAATTGGCTACAGTGCGAACCAAAAAATTGTTCCATAGGGAGTTTGACAAGTACCACACTTCCCCTCTTTCTAACTTTCTTTCTCTCTCCCTCTTTCTCTCTCTTTCTTTCTCTGACTCTAACCCCATAATTCAAAACGAATTGTCATATCTATTTAGTGTCTGATCGGAGTTTGGTGATTGAAGTATATTAGTAAAGCAGAGAAGAGGGACCTTTGCTATTCCCATGCTGTAACTGACCTGCAAGTTGCATGCTCATTTCCTAGAAGTGATATCCCTTACCTTGATGATTTGAACACAAAAAAATTTAAAGGGACATTGTTCATAATTTGGAATAATACACTCATCAGAGCTGGGTAGACTCATTCAAAGAATAAAGCAGCCATCGTTGCTAGGAGGTCACCCTTATCATGCAAACTGAGACAGTTTTATTACCCCTTTAAGATAGCTTTGAATGTGTGTAGATTTTATATAGGCAAAAAAAAGGGTCATTTTAGACATTTGCTGAAGCAAATTGAGTATGATCAAATGTGCAATGTTTATAATAATAATCCTTGCATTTGATATAGCATTGTCAAAACCTCTCAAAGGTATGTGAATTTACTGTGTATTTTGTGGGCAAAATGCGGCAGCCAATTGCGCGCAGCAGTGTTCCGCAAACAGTCGTGGATTAAGTGACCAAATTCTTCTTAGTATTTATTTTTTTGGATTATTACCCCCGGAAAGCGATCTGCCAATCGGCTAACAACTGGATTGCTGCTTGCTGCTAGGTAAACAAAGGTGTGTGGAGTAAAGAAACTTGCCTAATGTTTCGCCTCGTCCGGGAATCGAACTGGCGTTCTCTCGTTTGCAAGCCGAGCGCGCTAACCACTGCACTACGGGACTCCCATGTATATCTAAGTACTTGTATATAAGAGACAGATTGATCGCCTGGACACAGTTTTTCGATGCGTGTGCTAAGCATTTCACTAAGTATTAGCTTTAAGTAGTTTCTTCACCGGCTGATTTGGTTTGAATTGAAAGGAAAAGGAAATCTTATGCTTTTTATTCAACCCGAACTTGCGGTGTAAGAAGTGTCATCTCTCTGTAATGGAGGAATGATGGAGGGGGAGGGGAACAGCTTCTTCCTGTCCAAGGCTGTTACAGGATTAGCTGAATGGATCTAGGAAAGCTCTGTTGTGTTTAATGGGGCCCAAGTGTTTTTTCTATAATCCTTACCTAAAGATTGCCTAATTCAGTACCTCACGTCAAAACATTTCTAAATGCTTCACGGGTAATTGTGATTAAGTATGGTGAATGTATTCTTGATGAATACCATAGATGGCAGCTTTTGATCCTTGTATTTCTACTGAGATATGGGAACGAATGTAGAGGATATTGCCTTAGCTCCAGCAGAGCAAAATGCTTACTTATTCACTCGAGAAATTGTGCAAACACGATGGGCTGAATCAACGCTGTCTTCTGTGCTGTAAAGTTTTGATTCTAAAGCTTGGCTCACGATTCAGAGCTCCTTTCTCAAACAACTATTGAATTCCAACTAATTTGAAGACTTATATTAAATTAAAACAGGTTATCGGCCTTTTAAGCAATGAATAGCCGTCTGAACTGACAGGTAGAGTTTAATTGTCACAAACTGATAGCTGGGCGGATGAAATTAGATGTCTGGTTTCAACATGGTCTGACATCAATATCTTTCGAAAGGCCTTTTTGCTCTTATTAAAAAAAACATTCCTGGGACAATTAACCCTGTCTGTCTTTAAAACGGTGGACCCCGATAAAAAGGCGATGTGGAGATGAAAAGGGCCTTTTTGATACGTATTCAACCGTGAGACAGGAAAATATAAGGAAATCTGATTTGCCGACCACTGGAAAAATCCCATCTGTTCTCAGCTGTCAAAAAATCAAATGTCATAACTATAATTATTATTTATACATTGGTGGCAAGATTTTTAAGCGTTTCAACACTTGTACTTTTCATTTGAGTTACTGGATGATTATAGAGTCTGCTTGCATCAATTCTAGAGAGTCTTCTAGGTGTCATGATAATGACAGATTGTTAGAGGCATATTTATACATTGTACTATAATACACTGGAATAATACAATCTTTCTCCAGGAAAAGCTGTTATGAAGCCATGTTCTGACAGAATAATTTCAGATTGGAGAGAATATTGCCGTGTTAATTATTTCGGAGTGTGGTGTGTAAAGAATAAAATGGATGATTTAGCAGGAAATGTGTTCTAAATTATATTGTTGTAATTACAGCTGTTTCCTTAATAAATCAGTTTTAAAGAAAATAGAAAGAGGGCATCTGGAAAACATTACCCGTTTCTGCCTAAATAGCTGCCTCTGGGTTTCAATGTGAAGGGTGGGCTGCAAGTTAATTGATGCACTGTACAACCATCGTAGCCACAACATACAAAGTGAAAATTGAAAGCAGTACTTAAGATGAGGGACATGTGGGCATAATTTACAGTCCCCTAAAATCTCTATCACTATGCATAAAACTTCACTGGAAACTCTCCTTGAAACGCTGTGCTTCGCCGGGCACCCTAATTTTGTTGCCAGCCTCCAGAGGTTTTTTTTATTTTTACGATGATTCATTAAGCCCTGCTTTCCACACCCTGTTGTGATGTTCCTAGCTAACGTTTGACATGACAGGTTTTGGAGCTAAACTGGATGATCGTTTTCCAGTAAAAGCATAGCCAAATGTCTGTGCAGAGACCCGATACAGTGGCAAGTGTTTTTATGTTTAGAACGGGGTGAATTGGGCACACACAGCCTGTGTTTAATGTTTCTGCTTGTTTCCTGTTTCACTGATGAACCACTGCAAAGTGTCTTTTATGAAGTTGTTTTATAAAACACATCACATAAGATAGTGTTGAATCTTTTAACTAAATTAAATGTCAAATGAAAAAAAATGTGGTCACTCAATCCACGACTGTTTGTGCGACACCACTTGGGACACAATTGACAGTCAATTCACTTTGCAGTATATTCTGCGAGGCGCTTTTGAGACATTCCGAAAACGTGATAAGTCACTATGTGAAATGCAAGGATTATTATTATTGTACCTTCAGTTTGAGCAGGACACTAAAGCTGCTGGTTATCAGTAACCCAAAATCGTTAGCACTGTGGGAAAACTCAATATAATATTTAAATCTGAATGTAAAGTTTAGGATAATTTGAATGTTTCACCCACAACATATACAATCAATTCACTTTATAGTAAATTCTGTGAAGTGCTTTGAGGTGTCTCGAAGACGTGATAAGGCGCTATATCAAATGCAAGGATTCCACACATACTTTCTCACACGCACACAAACCAGTGATTTGCTTCTCAGCTGTGCAGTGCTGTTCTTACTTAAAACTTGGGATGTCTGCAAGAGCAATGAGTGTCGCTTTTCCTTAGTTTTCTGTCTCGCTGCTCTTTTCTTTCCTCCTCTCTTTCAAGGCCCCAAATGCTGAGCTATACATTGCTCCTGCTTAGTGCCTTCCCATGACCACAGATGAAATTTAGAAAGTCTGACCTTGGTGTACATTTGGTTAGACCGTCGAGAAGAGGATACATTACAAGTTTTGGGTTTCTTTTTTGAAAAACCCAAACCACCGCACAGTGTGGAAAGGTCCCAGATTCAGTAGACTTGACTGGGGTGGGGGGTTGGAGGCCACTACAATTGTCTTTCGTGCCTCATAATAAGGAGAGAAAAATATCGTGGCTCCTTTTCCTGGTTTGTAACTGTGGCTACCTCCTGGCAAGTGCCACTGTGTCGGAAAGGTGTAGATTGGATTTTGTTTGGCTGTGATACTCCTATGGCCTGCACCGTCTCACATGGAAAAGGTGCCCCGGTAACTATCCCAGCTTTAGTCATCTTTAGACGGAGGAGGCAAATTGATCAGTCGTCTAAATCTGAAATTTACATTCCAGCCTTGATATCACTTTAAGGTGTCCGTATTTTGTTACAAGGAAATTCCCACCTCGTCTGCTTTAAAGTGTGTTCTAGTTCATGTTTGGTTAGGCCTCAGCTAGAGTACTGTGTTTAGTTCTGGGCCCCACACTTTAGGAAGGATATCAAGGCATTGGAGAGGGTGCAAAGGAGATTGACCAGAATGGTACCAGGAATGAGGGGCTTCAGTTATCAGGAGAGGCTCGAGAAGCTCGGATTATTCTCCTTGGAGCAGAGAAGGTTAAAAGAGGAGACGTAATAGAAGTTTTCAAAATTATGACGGGGTTCAAATATGATGAACAAGGAGAAACTATTCCCACTGGCGGGTGGGTCGGTAACCTGAGGGCACCGATTTAAAATAGTTGTTAAAAGAAACAGAGGCGAGGTGAGGAGAAATTTTTTCACAGAGCGAGTTGTTGGGATCCGGAATGCATTGGCTGAAAGAGTGGTGGAAGCCGACTCAATAACAACTTTTAAGAGAGAAATAGATAATTTTTTGGGGGGGACAAGTTTGCAGGGCTATGGGGGGAGAGCGGACTAGTGGGATTGATTTGGAAGCTCTTTTCAAAGAGCCGGCACAAACACAAAATGCCAAATAGCCTTCTTCTGTGCTACATGGTTCTGTGGTCAACGTTTGGGCCACACATACTGTTATGACCATCCACGTTGAGGACATTGACACTGAAAGATTAATGCTATGTGTTGTGACTGCAGTGGGTTTATGGAAATTATTTACTGTCGATTGCTGTTCAGTTTAAGCTGTAGGTGCAATATCTGTTAAGTGTTGGTAATGGAATTGCACTGGCCGTTCGTAGTTCCTACCTCACTGCCACTGTTGCTGAAGAAATCAGTCATAGATATGACAAAGGCACGGCTTTGTCAAGTTTGTAATGGAATTTATTCAGCCACCTCACCTCTAACCTCTGGAATTTTCAACCAAAATTGTCTTGCCTCACAGTCTCTTTCTCTTTCTCTCTCTCTCTCTCTTCCCTCTCCTCCCAGTCATCTCCTCAACAATGCCTTTGGCTTCCTCTAAATTCCTTCAACTTTGTAGACATTGCTCTTATTGTTACACACTTTCAGACGTCTTTATGTAAATGGCACTATAGGAATTGCAAGTTCTGTGCTTTTCCTACTCCATATAAAATGAATGATATCTTATACTTCTGAAAATGATCTTTTGATAATTTAATGATTAATAAACGCTTTATTTTCAGGAAGATTATTTTCATTACGCTTGTTGTTGGCTGTAAATTGTTCAATTCTTTCATCTGTTTAGGTAAGCAACTGTAATCTTTATCGTCTTGGCAAAAAGAAAGGACTCCCCAGTCGAATGGTGGTGTCAATATTTGATCCACCTGTGAATTGGCTCCCTCCTGGCTATGTGGTGAATCAGGACAAGTGCATTGCCGACAAGAGTGAGCTGAAAGATGTGGTAGGTGTGGTGTAGCTCATATGGTTGCTTCTGAAAACCATCAGAGCTCTTTACAATGTTAAAAATGAGAGCAATTTGTTTTTTAATCTCTCCCGGGGTGGAGGAAAGAGTCTGGTTGAAGCAGCTGCACGTGTGCAGTACAGAATATACAATCTGTTGCTTGGTAACTTTCTCTCACTGTCACTAAATGCTACAAGTTTAACTTTCTGGTTGGCTATAACAATATCATAATCCTTGCATTTGATATAGCACCTTATTACATTATCGGACTGTCTAAAAGCGCTTCACAGGATACAATGTAAAGTGGAGTGTGTTTGTGTGCGATAAACGTGTGTGAAAGAGGCATCCTCCTGATGTGAAAGGCACCATAGAACTGTAAATTGTGCTGTATAATCTCTTTCCATGTTTTTGAACTAGTATAACCTTTGCCACCAGTAGAGAGAACGGTGAGGCAGCAAGCTGATGTGATGGGGGAAGAGGAGGGAAGAACTAAACCATGTCTAACCTTGGCATTTCCTTTCAGATTGGAGCAGAACAACTGGCCAATGGGGCGCCCTATGAGGATGAAGAGGACGAAGATGACGACGAGGTAGAGGAGGAGGACCCTGAATTCCGTGAAGATTTGATGTGGAGAGCACACAAGGAAGAAACCGAGTATGAAGACGACTTTTCCGAGTACGATCAGGAGCACATCAAATTCATCGATAACATGCTCATGGGGTCTGGTGCCTTCGGGAAGAAGATTTCTCTGCCAGCCTTCCCACCCACCGAGGGAAGCTACGAGTGGAAGGCTCCCAAGAAATCCACATCGGGGAGCGGGCATGTCTCGTTGGAGGGCGATGAGTTTGACTACAGCTCCTGGGATGCCATGTGCTACCTGGATCCCAGCAAGGCCACAGATGAAGACGATTTTGTGGTGGGATTCTGGAATCCATCGGAGGAGAATGGCGGGGTGGACGCGGGCAAACAGTCGATCTCTTACGACCTGCACACTGAGCAGTGCATTGCCGACAAGAGCATCGCCGACTGTGTGGAGGCTCTGCTGGGCTGTTACTTAACCAGTTGTGGAGAGAGAGCAGCCCAACTCTTCCTCTGCTCTCTGGGGCTGAAAGTCCTCCCGGTGGAAGAAAAGATAGGTTCCCTGGTGAAAGCAGGAGCGACTAAGGAGCAGAGCGTCCTTCGTCTGAAGGAAAAGGCTGAGAGTGGAACGGCTGATGATATCTTGTTGCCCAGTCTGAAACCGCTTCCTTGTAAAGACCTTGAATATGGCCACCTGCAGATTCCTCCCAGATGCATGTTTGATCACCCAGATGCCGAGAGGACATTGAGCCACCTAATATCTGGCTATGAAAACTTTGAGAAGAAGATAAACTATAAGTTTAAGAACAAGGCCTACCTTTTACAGGCATTTACCCATGCCTCCTACCACTACAACACAATTACAGGTAAAGTCCTGACAATTAGACTGTGAAGTCCTGTAGCTTAGTAGTTAGAGCGCTCGCCTCGCAAGGGAGAGAACCTGGGTTTGATTCCCGGCAGAGTGAAACATTGGGCAAATTTCCTTACTCCACCCGCCTCTATTTACCTAGCAGTAAATAGGAAACCGGTTGTTAGTCGATTGGTGAATTGCTTTCCCTTCAAAAAAAATAGTAATAACAATTTGGTCACTCCATCCACGACTGTTTGTGGAACGCTACTGTGTGCAATTGGCTGCAGAGTTTCACTCACAAAAATACAGTCAATTCACTTTACAGTATATTCTGTGAAGCGCTTTGAGACGTCTCGAAGACATGATAAGTTACTGTATCAAATGCAAGGATTATTATTATTGTAGGTTTAAAGCTGCCATTGCCTTTTGCCTGCAACCCAAAAGTGCAGCTACTTGCCACAATAAAGCTGGTTTAGCTTTAGGTCCCCTCTGCTCTTTGCTTCTAAACCCTCTGCTCTTTGCTTCTAAATTCTGATTTTCTAACATTATGTTGCCCTTAAGAGTTGACCCATTGCCAGTTTCTGCAAATCAGAGACCTACAAAGCTTTACGTTGTACTGCAACAACAACAAGATTCCATTTATAGAGCTCCTTTCACGTCGGGAGGACATCCCAGGGCTCTGTACAGTTGGGTCAGGACCCGAGCAGAGGGGAAATGGTCAGGGTGAGGGGAGGGAAGGGAGGGAGCGAGGAAGGGGGAAATGGTCAGGGTGAGGGGAGGGAAGGGAGGGAGCGAGGAGGGGGGAAATGGTCAGGGTGAGGGGAGGGAAGGGAGGGAGCGAGGAGGGGGGAAATGATCAGGGTGAGGGGAGGGAAGGGAGGGAGCGAGGAGGGGGGAAATGGTCAGGGTGAGGGGAGGGAAGGGAGGGAGCGAGGAGGGGGGAAATGGTCAGGGTGAGGGGAGGGAAGGGAGGGAGCGAGGAGGGGGTAGAGAGTCGAGAGGGGAGCCGAAGGCACAGTCAAAGAGAAACGTCTTGAGACCGGCCTTGAAGGAGGAAAGGGAGGAGGCGGCGAAGGCACTGGGGTATAGAGTTCCAGAGCCTCGGGGCTGAGAGGCTGAATCTTAGGTTTGTGCAGTCATCTTTAGAGCAACAATTGTGAAGTAAAGGTTCTAATGATGGCATTAGCCTTACGTTCATTATTATTGCTAACATTCTGCTGGTCAGGATTGCTTTCAGCCACTACGCCCCAAAACTCTGGAACACTTTTCCTCTATCCCTCCGCCTTGCCTCCCCCTCTCCTCTTTTTCAAGTCCCACCTGATAACCTTCCTCTTCGTCCGCGCTTATGGTCACCTCCTCCTCCCCTCCCCCCCCACCCCCACCTTGGAGTCAGGCTTCGCCACTGTTAAGCGCTCTGAGACACTGCCCTGGGTGGAGGGTGCTATGTAAGTGCAAGTTGTTGGTAAATCCAAGTCCAGTTAGTGACTTAATTGCTGCAGGGTGTCAACTGGCGCCCATCCCATTTCATCTGGCCCTCCATAACCCGTATACGTTATGTTTCTGGAAGGAAAACACAAAAAAATGTGCTTATGCGGCCTGCGAATGACTCTCAAATAGGGCATCCGGCTCTCAGCAGCCAAGAGGTCCGACCTCCGCCCTGCTTTATAGCATCGCTCCCTGGAAAGGGGCTTAGTGTTTTTAATTTGAAAATTGCGCATCGCAATAATTTGAAAATGTTAAACGTTTGCATCTTAGAATCTACCTCCCATCTTAAATGCTCAGTAATATATTCTCAAACTCTATGTTCAGATTGTTACCAGCGGCTGGAATTCCTTGGAGATGCAATTCTGGACTACCTCATAACCAAGCACCTTTACGAAGATCCACGGCAGCATTCTCCCGGCGTGCTGACTGACCTGCGCTCGGCACTGGTCAACAATACCATCTTTGCTTCTTTAGCTGTGAAGTACGATTATCACAAATACTTTAAAGCCATCTCGCCCGAGTTGTTCCATGTTATAGACGACTTTGTTCAGTTCCAACTGGAGAAGAACGAGATGCAAGGAATGGATTCTGAGGCGAGTTTTTATCATGGGGCGGCCATTCAGCCAACTATACGGATGCTAGCTCCCCCCTACCCCAAGCTAATCTCGCTTCCTCACTCCTCCTCCCCTGTTACCCTTTAATAATCCAAGTGTTAATCCCATTCGCTTCTGGTTGCTGTTTCTGGTTTCTTCACCTTTTCAAAGCTGTTGAGTGAGACGTGCAGTACAAAACTCCATTTATCCCCACGCTTTCATGTGGGGAGGATACCTCAAGGCCCTTAGCAATACTGGAACAAACCCCCGCTTAACCCTGTTCCATGGTGACCTAAAATTGCAGGTTTATGGTGAGGCTAAATTCAAATATTGGGACATTGTATACACAAGGTTGCACTGAATTTTCCCTAAAAGGAAATAAATAAATTATCGAATCCTATAGGTTAGTGGCTAGAGCCTTGCAAGCGAGAGGACCTGGGTTCGATTCCCGGGCAGGGGGAAATCTTGGGCAAGTTTCCTAACTTTACACATCACTGTTTACCAGTTTGTCAGTTGATTGGTGGATCACTATGCCATGGGTAACGATCCTTTTTAATAAAATAATAATAATTTGGTCACTGAATCCAAGACTGTTTGTGGGACACTGCTGTATGCAATTGGCTGCCGCATTTCGCCCACAAAATATACAATCAATTCACTTTACAGTGTATTCTGTGAAAAGGCGCTATAACAAATGCAAGGATTATTATAAGCATTTAATGTCCGAGGGGCTGACCAGGCCTACTCGTTGGGGGTGTTGTTGATTTCACTGTCTGAGCACTTGAGCGGCTTCTGAAGGCTGAACTGTGTGACTGAGTATTTAATCTAGACGATGTGAAAAGCGCTATCTCAAATGCTTGGATTATTATATTATTAATTAACACCATCTGTTTTGTGGGAAGTGTCTCACAGCTTAAAATACCCGTACATTAACTTAATTCAACAATAAACACTATTTTCACACCACACTTCAGACCCAACCACAGATCGTTGATATAAAGAAAGACAACAATGGGATTTTTTTTACTGTTGATTAGCGACGTCACTCTTAATTCCCTTTTCTCTCCACCCCCCCCCCACACACACACAGACACACTGTAGGAGAGTGCTGCTAAAGTGTTTTTTTCTGCCTGTGTTTACTACAGCTGAGGAGATCAGAGGAGGATGAGGAAAAAGAGGAAGATATAGAGGTTCCCAAAGCCATGGGGGATATTTTCGAGTCTCTTGCTGGGGCCATCTATATGGACAGTGGGATGTCCTTGGAAACTGTTTGGCAAGTTTACTACCCCATGATGAGACCACTCATAGGTAGTCAGTCCCTTCTTGATGGCTTTTGATGTCATTGCTCCAGCTGTCTTAACTCAGCGATTGACGTCTTCGTCTTGTGCTGTGTCTTACAGAGAAATTCTCAGCCAATGTCCCGCGTTCTCCTGTTCGGGAGTTGCTGGAGATGGAACCAGAGACGGCCAAGTTCAGGTAAGTTTACAATGATTTACTATTTTAATGAAGCTCTGAGTGGCAGCTACCAGTTGATTGATTGTTGATCTGCTGGAGGGAGCGGGAGCTGAACAGCATAAGCGCCCTGGGACGCTATATAAATGCAAGTTGTTCTAGCATTCTCTGACTGATTGATAGACACATAGAGGCAGGCCACTCGGTCCAGGCAGACATTCTGATTGAATGACGTGACTGATTCTCTTCTCTCCCAGCCCCGCGGAGAGGACGTACGATGGCAAGGTGCGTGTGACGGTGGAGGTGGTTGGCAAAGGGAAGTTCAAAGGAGTCGGCAGGAGTTACCGGATCGCCAAATCCGCGGCAGCTCGCAGAGCGCTGCGTAGCCTGAAGGCAAACCAACCTCAGATACAACCCAGCTGAGAGGTCCCCTACTATCTCTTCCCCCCCACCTCACCCCAGCCCCCAAAACACACACACACACACACACCCTCATCAGCAGCTTGCCTGGAGTCAGACTGGATCAGGTTTGAAAGTGAAACCAGTCGTTCTCTGATGGTGTAAAGCATTTGTAACTACCGTATGTAAAATTTAGGATTAATTGTAGTTGTATAGTAAATTTTTTGCGCAAACACAATCTTTTTCCTCCTCTTTTGCTAGCTTAATCACGAGAGTGCTTTATATCATTTGCGAGCGTTTTTTTTAAATACCATCGTCAGGTTCCCTCATAATGTTTACTTTGGTTTAAATTTAAAGCTTTTGCTCTGTGTTAGTGAGCCAGGAAGCTTATTATGCTGGAAGTCATTTAGTTCTTTAGATTGCACATTTTTTTTTAGTAATCTTGAAACTCTTGATCTGTGCACTAGTGCCAGTGCGAGGTCGCTCAGTGTGTAAGCTGTTGTGTGTGAGCTGGTGTGAGCGAGCGAGTGTGCCAGTATTGCCCTGTTTCCTTGTCGTCTGTACACTTAGAGATGGCATTCCCAATCCTTTCTTTGCACTTAATTTGATAGGAACAGGTTTCACTTAAAAGAGCAACTGGCATTTTTTTTAAAAAGTAATAATTGTTCAACTTAACAATGCCACATATTAAGTCTTGCATTTAATCAAAAGGGTTTTGCCTTAATTGAAAGTAACCCCCCACTCTTTTCTTTTCATTTCCTGAACCTTTGATACATTTCTATAAGCGATTTACATTCCCATTTAATACGCATTGCACGATGATAACCGTTACCCTGGACTGACCTCCTTTCCGGTTGTGGCTATGTAATTTATAGCAGAACAAGAGGTAGCTACAGATATATTTTAATACAGATAAAATGGTTTCAGATACTTAAGAGTCAACAAGGTATTAAAACATTTTTGATGCAAGATGTAGCTAAATTTACACACCATGTGGTCTCGCTAGGAACCCAGGTGTGTTCTGCCTACGATCCGAGTGTGAAGTGTTTCCAAATGCAGCAAACCATTTAGTCTTTAGTCCTTAACACAGTCGGGAACTTTTACTCGAATGACGGTAACCTTAGACATATTCAGAATATGCTGCAGATTTTTGTAAAAAAAAAGGTTAATTTTTATTTTTTATTGATATAAGCACCTTTCCGTTTAGAAGAAGGGGTGGAGAAAATCAACCACCGACTGACAGACTGTCCTTGGTGTCTGGCCATAAGCGTTTTACAATTCACTTACACCAAAGCTGTGCATTCACGTTCGTTACTGAGGCGGAGCTTGTGTACTCCTTCTCCGTCAGTGGGGGTCTTTCCCCACCCCCCGCCTCCCTCCTGGAAGCCAGGAATGTGATGTGGGTGGGCACGGAAAAGGGATGAGGTGATTTCACCAGCATGGAAGCTTTTTATAAAGAGGATGCATCCGATTCAGGCTCAGCCTAAGGTAGCGGTTTTGTTTTTCAGTAGGTTGCAATTAGTCGCTCGAATACCTCAGTTCTTGTTTGCCTGCATTTGGAGTCCTGTAGCTCAGTGGTTAGAGCACTCGCCTCGCAAGCGAGAGGACCTGGGTTCGATTCCCGGGCAGGGCGAGACGTTAGGCAAGTTTCCTTACTCCTCATGCCTCTGTTTACCTAGCAGTAAATAGGAACCCGGTTGTTAGTCGATTGGCGGATCGCTTTTCCAGGGGTAAAAATCCCTTCAAAAAAAGAGAAAGAAATAATAATGTGGTCACTCAATCCATGACTGTTTGTGGGACACTGCTGTGCGCAATTGGCTGCTGCGTTTCACCCACAAAATATACAGTCAATTCACTTTACAGTGTATTCTGTGAAGCGCTTTGAGACGTCTCAAAGGCGTGATAAGGCGCTATATCAAATGCAAGGATTATTATTATTTGTTTTCTGTTTTTTTTGTTGGTGCTATGTTTTATGCTTGAAATGTTTTTTTAATTGTTTTTGCACTGTAACTATAATACCTCTTTTTAATTAATTTTTACTTTTTTTTAAAAAAGAAAGATTGGGGCGATCTATGCGTTGCTTCCTGCCGTTTAATCCTTAAATAAAGAGTTCAGGCGCAAATTCCCCACCATCTTCCCACCTCGCTATCATGTGCTTAACGATATCTAGAGCTAGTAGTGGTTTTTATTTTTGTTAATGAATTGGAGGTAGTAATTTGAATTGCTTATTTAAGGTGTTCAGTTTTAATTCCCATTATCTGTCTTTGATTCTTTCGCTCTCTCTCTCTCTCTCTCTCTCTCTCTCTCGGAAGTGGTTCTAGCTGGTTAGATTCCAGCAGTGCCCCAACGCACACTCTGGGGTCCCCAATCCTTGGCTCTTGCCAACCTGGATACTCTTAAAGCACGGAGATGGGTTTTCCGCATGTGTCAGACATCCAGCTGACCAAAAACAAGCTCCCGGTGACTCCTCATTTCACTATTGGGTCTGATTTAGGAGGTAGGTGGGAGAGAGAGGTGGTAGAAAGTAAAAACGTTTAAGCCTGTGAACTTGGCAACGTAAAGTGGGTAGTTTTTTTTAAATATATATATATATATGCTGAAAGTGAGTAATAATTTTTTTTAAAACTGCTGACGTGTGTCATTTGATCGATACAACCTCATTTTAAAATATGCATCACAATCCAAACGATGGGCCTGTATCCATTTCCTGACTGACTGACTGACTGACCGACCGACCGACTGACTACCGTACACTAGTTATTGTCTCATTTTCTTTCTCGTTTCCTCTTCCGCTCTCTTCCCACCAGCCCACCTTCCACTCCCATGCATGTAACCGTGGGACATGTTCTCTTCTCTCTCTCTCGGAAGAGAGAGAGATTTTGTTTCTCACAAAGATACTGCTTTCACAGGTCGCGTTATTATCACATGGTCACACTTTTTTTAATTAAAGAAAAAAACACGCAAAAAAAAGTGTTGGCTAGAAAACTCTACATTTATGTTTTATATCAAACAATATTTTTTCACTGTAAACCTAACCATTCGCAAACCTTATGTCCTAATTCATGCTGCAAAAAAAAATGTTTTTGAACGAAACTTTCCCGAATCATTTTGTTGGACACAAGATGCATAATTTTGTTTTGCTGTTGTCCACATGTAGCACGATTTGAGCATTGCACTTGGCATCATGCTTTACCTCATTTCAAACAACAAAGTAATTGTTTGTTAATAACGCTTACAGAAAAGTTCTTGTTTCGTTCCGGGTACCGGCTGCTGTACTAAAATTTGTCAAAGGTAATTAACTGCTATCGATGGCGTGCCTGCGGTCTCTCTCTCGTTCACTGTACAACACGTGACTGTTTTTAAATGCACTCGAGAATTCTAATGGAGGCGGCAACGGCAATGTTCCTGTTTTATGGCAGAATTAACTGTGATTGATTTAAAAAAAGAAGATAAAGTGCGTGTTTGCGAGACATTGGAGTATTGCGGGCGTGTGCTGTACTGTAAATAATGTGATTTTAAACCATGGTTAAACCTGTAGCCGAATGGAGTGCGTAAGGAAGACAATGAAACTGAATGATGTTGGGTCATCATCACACCGGCTGCAGCAGTCTTTAAAGGACACAGAATTCTATCTCATTCATACTGTAAACTTGCTGCAAAGGTTTGCATTCTGCACCTTATGGATCACAATTACCTTTAATAGTTTTTTTTGTAATTGTAGCTGAGTATCTACAATAAAGTATGGTCTGGTTGTTCATTATCGAAGCCTGAAGTTTTATTCTCATTCCTTATTCTGCCCCACCTTCGAAGGTCGGTCCTTCAGCCTCTCTGCGTCCACCCCACAGTCCTTCCACCTCGCTCCCTCCCTCGCCTCCTTCAAAGCATGTCTCAAGTCCCTCCTCTTTGACCGTGCCTTCAGCCATGCTCCTACCCTCCACCCCTCCCGATCCCAACTCCCTGCTCGGGTCCCAATCCCTGACTGTCCAGTGCCTTCGGACGTCCTCTTCCTCCCTTCTCTTTCGCTCTCTCACACTTCCTCTAATGGGCTGGAAGTCTCTTTATGGTAGGCTTACCACCTGAAATCAAGGAGAAAATGTCCGTAGCGGGGGCAGGATTGACCTCCATTGGGTGTTGCTGCCATCATTCCCTATGTCTTACTTGTTTGAGTCGTTTCCTTTGTCCATTAGCCATCTCTCTGGCCAATGTTGGGTATTGAATGGCTTTCTGTCTTAATAAAAAGTCTACTGGCATTCAGTGCTCTTCCTGTTTTGGTGGGTTTATTGCTGCACCGCTCCCTCTCTCCCCCCCCCCCCCCCCCCCCCCCCCCCCACCAACAGGTGAAGAACTGGGGGGTAGAACCCACAATGAGGAAGGATGAAGTAAGATCCAACTGACTGGCTAACAGGTAAATGTCTTAAAAGATTAGATCCCAAGTCATTTGCTCCATGTGTGATATCCTATTGTCTTGCGGACTTCTGTAAAAAGGCTGAGGATCAGAATTCCAGTGGTGGGGTTTATGATAATAAATCCTAATCCTAATCCTTGCTTTTGTGTCTTTTATGGCGGGAGGACGGGGATTACACAGCTTGACTGTGTATATAGGCCAGGGTGGTCCAACCTTCTGGCTGCTGAGGGCCAGATGCTGGATTTGAGAAACATCCATGGGCTGCTTAAGCAATGTTGCAACATAAGCACTGATACCTTCATAAAATACTCCTGCTGAGTCACTCCCGCGATGCCTCTCCTGTGGTTGCTCGAGGCAGTACGGGGGGGGTAAAACAATGAAGTCGGAAATGGATCGTGGGCCGGTTGTGGCCCATGGGCCACCGGTTGGATCACTCTTGTTGGAGCCAAATGATTTGTGATGCTGCCGGTTTCAAATGGTCCTGAGAAAAAATGTCTTTCGGATCCGCAAAATGTTACTTTTACCTTCAGCGGGACTTGAAATTTCACTTCTGATCCGGATTTTCAGCAGAGAGGAGAAAGTGGGAAGTTTGGGATAGACTTAACAGCTGAAACTGCGCGGTTTGGATAATAATAATAATAATCCTTACATTTGATACAGCGCCTTATTGCAACGTGAAGATTTCTCAAAGCGCTTCACAGGATATATATATATTTTGTGAGCGAAACGTGGCAGCCAATTGCGCACAGCAGTGACCCACCCACAGTCAGGGATTGAGTGACCAAATTATTATTTATTTTGAAGGGATTAATTATTAGCCCCAGAAAAGTCAAACTAACTACTTACTGGGTAAACAGGCATGTGAAATAAGGAAACTTGCCCAACGTTTCGCCCCCTGCCCGGGAATCAAACTCGGGTCCTCTCGCTTGCGAGGTGAGTGCTCTTTAACCACTGAGCTACAGAACTCCTGTGGGAGAATTAACGGTTATCGGGGAGTACGTTAGACTGACCAAACCCATGGTTTACATGTGGAATAATAGATGCCTAGACGTGAACGTGTGTGTGTATATATATATCTATAGTATATATACTTGACTATATATTATAGGGGAATTGTAATCAGGGTGGCCTTTGCGTGTTCAGTAGAAAGAAGCTCAATTATGCACCCCACACAATTCGCCAGAGTTTTCTCTGCTCGCTCGCTCCTGGAGGAGTCGGGGTGCAGCAAGATGTGACATTGTGCAGTCATTGGGCTTCCTGTGTCCTTCCATACATTATGTCAGCCACGGCAGTTAGTTTAGGTTTGCAGTTGATTCCTAGGAAATTCTGTGTCCCGCGCGTAATGAGCTGCGATTGTTCTGCTCTCAAAGTTATTAAGTTTCCTTCAACTTGTGGTTTTGTTTGCTTATAATTACGCTGTGCGACTCTCCTATTCCCTTTAGCTGGAATACCTTGCCTTGGTAGGCTATCAAATTTCTGTATTATTTTAAATTCTTTAATCCTCCTGCCACTTAGATATGCAAGTTTGATTTTTTTTTTAAATTTCCTTGAGCCAATAATGTTTATATATAAACACATTACATAGAGCCTAGACATTTACAGCACTCACAGGAGAAGGCCATTCATCCCGTTGTGTCTGTGCCGGTTCTTTTACAGAGCAAACATTTCAGTCCGATTTACCTACCCTTCCCCCCCCCCCCCCCCCCACCTCCTTTCCCCCCACCCCTAAAACTCCTGCAGTTCACTCCTAATAAAATAATAATCCTTGCATTTGATATAGCGCCTTATTACGTTGTTGAGCACTTTACAGAATATGCTCCAACCAATATGCTACAACAACAACAATACAACAACAAAATTATGTTTATAGAGCGCCTTTCACGTCGGGAGGATGTCCCAAAGCGCTGGGACTCCACAGACTGAACTAGATAAATGGTGGGAAAGCTAATTTATATTCTGCGTCAACTACTTTTCCTGACAGGGCATTCCGTATGCTAACTACTTGCGTGTGTACATAAAAATAAATGCTCCCAAGTTCTATATTTACTCATTTGCTAACTATGTTAAATTGCTTCCCTGACTCACGGTGAAGGAAAGTGAAAAGTATCAAACTTTTGTCGCTTTTAAATGTTTTTTTTCAATCATAAACTTTCCCTTTGTCAAATCCACATTCCTTAATTTCTGC